CATTTGCTTAGACAACATTAGCCTCAAGCTTCTATGGGTGAGATTAGCTATATATAGTTCTAATGATTAATAGTTCTAAATTTATTGTTTTCAGTCATGTTTGGTTTGTCAGAACAACTACTGACACTTATGACAGTCTGTATTTTTCTTTTTTTCTTTGTTGTTAGTTTAGTTAGTATTCAATTTTCAAGAATCCATTTGATACAATTTAATCCAAGTAGATGAATTGACTGTTTCTCTATTAATCCAAATTCAAAAGATCTAAAAGATCTACAGCAGTCTACACTTTAACATTCAATAAACGGAATTTGCTTGACAACTTTCTGATTCCATCAATTATTTCTATGTGCTATTTATATAGAAAAATACTTTTGAAAACAGAAGACTGGTCCGATTTATTCAACAATGTAGAAAACATTCGTCTAGTTCAACTACATTTTATTATTAATCTTTAAAATATTTTGCTCTATCTTGTTTATGACTCTGTTTTCTGAATGTTTAGGACACATCTTATACTAGCTGTGCTCAGCAACTCCTCATCTATAACTCCATCAGAGTCTGGCATCTCAGATCCCAAGCTGGACTCACTCCTGCGACAGAAGATTGGGAAACCTTTCTACTTTACAAATGAATTCACCCAGGTTTGGAAATAAAATAAAAACGATTGATTTATGGCAAAATACAAAGTATCCATAAACTATACCTTCCGCAAAGATTCGTGGCGGCTGAGGGATTAGGACGGTCGGGTGGTGTCTCAGCCCCTAAATTAGCCCTCACTCGACTGCTCTGGGTTTTGACCATGAGTCACCCACTAGGATCAATGCATAGTTGGAAGAATTTTTGTATATCACCATAAAGTGTATTAAAATACGCCAGTTTTGTAACCTGCGCCAAATAACAAGAACATTGAGCCCAAACACGAAATAATTGTGACGATATTAAGTATACATTTGGTTTCAAAATAATAGACAGTTTTCGTGTCGTGGTATGCCTAATATCATCGCAATTATTTCGTGTTTGGGCTCAATGTTCTTGTTATTTGACGCAGGTTACAAAAATGTCGTTATTTAATACACATTATGGTGATATACAAACATTTTACCAACTATGCATTAAGCCCGGTGGCTGACTCATTGTCGAAACCCAGAGCAGCCGAGCGAAGGCTAATTTAGGGGCTGGGACACCACCCGACCGTCCTAATCCTTCAGCCGCCACGAATCTTTGCGGAAGGTATAATGTGAACAATTTAACCCTTAAAACCCTACTGATTATTTAGAGATCTCATAATTCCATTTTTATTATTTTTTCCCTCATTTTATGAACATAACAAATTATTTTAATTTTAAAACAAGCTATTGGTGGACACACTCGCACAGAGTAAGAATATGCAAAAAGTAGTTACCCGATTAGAGGGGCAACTTATAAGTAATTAAATTAATCCATCTTGTCAACTTACACTAGAGCCATATTATTTATACAAAAGGGAAAAAATAACTTTAAACTGTAAAAACCTTAGGAAGACTAACCGTATAAAAGCTTTGTGTCATCGCTGAGTCGAGTGAGAGGAGTGTAGATGAGCAAAGCTCGTACACAATCAGTTTGCTTACAACTTAAAACTATGAAAACAAAAACCCAGGACTCTCATTTGTTAATAGAAAAGATGCAAAAATTAATTCAGATTCACTTGGTCTTATGAATAGACTCACTAAGTGACTCATATGGAAAAGGCCGAACATATACTAGGTAACTCGGAACCAGACGAATCAGACGACACTCATAGATTCACACTACACATTGTCGTGGTTACCAATTAGGCTTGTTGTAAGCCTACATCGTTGTACCGCACCCTTGTCAATTAAATAGATTAATATTACTATTATCAACTTTCCTTGAACAAAACTATTTTTAAAAGGGTTATTGAGTTGTAGAATAAAGGGAATATTGTGCGTTTTACCTGTGTTCAATGGCCTACCCGTACTTCTTAGGTAGGCTAGCTGCTATCCCCTTCATTCTACATCTCAAAATCCTGGCCTAGAGCCTTTCCTTGAACAAAACTAAAAATGTTGTTTGTCTAAAAAAAACCAGAAAGCTAAAACCAATAATGCAAAAAAATAGTTTTAAAGTTGAAATAATTTCCCTAAAAATAAAAGCCCAGAAGATGAGGTTCAAAACACAACACCCTCCAAGATCAGTATTGGATGGTTACAGAGACTAATACTGATACTGTTTTGGTTTAAAAACAATCAAAAGAAATTCCATAAAAAAAATTGTACTAGAGAATGATTTATATTTTTTACAATGGGAACCCTAGCTGTCCAAGACTTACAACAAAAAGCTATGAAAATGGAATCAATCAGTATACCAATGCAACTTTCAGTGATGTAATGTAAATTAAAAACAAAAATAAATAAGTTGTGTTGTTTCATGGTGTTGTATCATGACAAAGTATTTAAAGATTATTATTACCAAACATAGAACCAATAACTATGATCTCATTACAAGGTCGAGTTAATGGATCGAGGCCAGAAGGGAGAAGGGTAAAGTAATTGGAAAATAGAACTTAAAGCATTAAGATTTTCTCAAACTATTAAGGCATTTAAGTGATTATTAATGCTCATGATATTTATTTTCGCTGTTGTAGGATGAAGAAGAAGAGATTTTCTTGACATTTGATGTTCCAAATGACATAGAATCTACTTGGGGATATCCAGTACCACTTCCTCGACCTGCAGAATACAAGATAGCAGCCACACAAGTCTTGGAGTACAACGGAGTTTACAATGTGGACATTCGCTACTCGCCAACATTCTGGTTCGATTAAACAACTGTTGGACGAAGTTTGCTATGACAACTGTAAATAGAGTAGATGGGAAATAAAGTTTAGTTTGCTTTGGGGAAATTGTTGTTTGATATTCAGTAAAAGTTAACACGTTCGCTGCTACGGACGTTCCGGAATGTCAAACGGGCCACGGCGCCAGGAGCTAGGAACGTTCCGGAACGTCGCCGTTCATTGATGTTTAACGTTACCATGGATCAGCCAGCTCGTCACGAGCGTCCTATATTTCTTTGCAGCTCGTGGGGACGTACTTTTCTGACAATAAAAATATAGTTTCCCAAAATCACCACCACGGTTGTTTAGAACAGGGCTTTGTCCCACCTCTTTCCTGCTAGATAGCGACACTACTTTACCGACTGCAACCTGGGTAGTGCTGCTATTTATCTGAATCACTTAGTACTATGTCCAAAGCCAGTTTTATTGCAGAACATTGCCATCCAGCACAACTACTGTTGTTTTTACTGTAATTCAGTGTATCGGCAGCAATGTTTACGCAGCGGCGATCGTTAGTTCAGCTCCTGGCACCATCCCGGCATCTAGCCGTCAGCAGCGAACGTGTTAATTTAATAAACTATGCAATATTGTGTAAAAATTTACTTACATGCAATCTGGTTCATCAGTATTTTTGCCTGATATCCCATTCAAAAATATTTCAAAAATATTTTATTGCTGGTGATTATGGTGATATCTTTTCTTGTAGCAATTTCCATTTTCCAGAAAATTCAACAAGAAATATAAAGTAGGTTTGCTTTTAATCTCTCTTACAATGGGCTCTTTCATTGGCTATTGCTATTGACTATTGGATACAGAAGTAGACATCCCCTGACTGCTGTCATAATTTTTTCACTAAAAAAGAACATAGTTGTGTGAGCCAGTCACAGAATGCGCAAGTGTCTAACATTCTATTTTCTACCTTAATTTTTGTTGCTGACATAGCTAAATGGGTCACAACAATTGCTATAGCTTACAATAAGTCACTTGGTAAAAAAGTTTGTGTATTCAACAGGAATTAGTAATTTAGATCAGCACAATTTATTGGTGGCTCACATCTACGTAAATTTTGGTTAGAAAACAAGAACAAATTTTAACATGGGGGTAGAATTTCTAGGGTCTGACTTAGGGGAGGTACGAATGAGGCATTTAGTTCCAAATTCCTCCGGGAACAGAGCACTAGTAGTAGAGAGCACTTTGGCAATGAAGGTTTACTAATCGCAAAAATAGTTCTGTTCATAAAATAAAATTATAAATGTCTCAATTCAATTTTATTATTTTTTAATTATAAAATTAAACTATCATAACCTAACCGAACTAACCAAACTTGCTGATAAAGAAATAATATAACAAAAGTTTAGTAATCGGAAAAATAATTCTGTTTATTAAATAAAACTAGAATTTGCTCAATTAAAATTTTATAATGACTTAATAATAAAATTAAACTGTAATAACCGAACTAAACCAACCAAACTTGCTGATAATAAAAAAATCTTGGACAAAAAGTTAATGCTACCAGCAGGATTCGAACCCGGGACATTCAGTTTATCAGCCCAGCACGCTAACCATTAGACCACCGAGGCCGATGGCTACCGATCGTTTTGTTATGGTAATGGCGTTCCCTCAGCTAATAAGAAGCCCACAGCTGTCATCGTAGCCTCTTCTATACCTCCCCTGAGTAAATACCGAATTTCTAGTTCTAGGTTCTTTGCATGCATTAAGTATCTTTGTAAATTAAAAAAGTTTGAAGGCAGCTGTGATAAAGTAGGGGAACACGCTTACACTGAGGATTTTTAATGACGTGAAGTGTTTGCAGACCGTAGATAGTTGCAAAGGACTATTTCATCAAGCGGCTTATTTATTTAGCCTTGGTTAGTTATTTAGCCTTGATTGTGACAAACTACCTGACTACCTCCAAATACTTAAGTTGGTGTCCCAATCTTTGTTATAGAAGAAAATACGTACAAAATGTTTCTGTATCCATCTTTCTATGATGTTTTGAATGTCGTCAAAACTTATATGAACCTATGAACCGAAAGCAAGATTGACATGGTCTATACAAGATATTAAATGGTCATTTCCCAATAATTAGCATAGTGAGTTTCTTACCCCAATATAAATGTCAAAGTAAAAAACAATAACGGTATAAATTGGGATAAATATCAAACATGGATAGCTTCAGAAACGTTATGAGAGTATATTTTTATAAATAATGTTAACGCTATACAAATATTTATACATACAAAAAAACAAACCAAATATTATACCCTTGTGACTTGTATGACTAGTGGAGGTATTAGTTTCCATATATGCTTTTCCTTGGAAGTGCACTGGATGTTGACCTTGTACTGGCCTGGAGTGAGGAAAACCACTATACATTCGTGGTATGCCTGGCCTAACTCTGCTACCTGAAAGAACAACTTGTATTAAAAAAAAAAGTATACATCAAAACAAAATCCAAACCTAAACATATTGACAGATACATTTAACTTGTTTCCCCACAATTACTGATAACACCATGCATTATTAATCACATAATTCACACCTCTTCACTTCATTACCTCTAATTGCTTCACCCAATTTTTATCCTTATAAAAATTCCTTCGTGCCTTCGTTGCCATATTTTATCCATCTGATCAATTACTTGTCAAGCCTCATTCTACATTTTTCCATTAAATTTTGGATACTTCTAGATATACCATGTCAATGGACTGGTTGTAGCCAATTTTCAAATTAAAACAGAAGTTAGTTATAACTGCTCACATAGTAACAGATAATGATATGCGATGTGACACAAGATACTGTTGTTTACAATAAGTAAATATTGTGAAGCGGTTAGTTAAGTACCATACGTCTTCCAATTCAACTTGGTTAAATGTCAGCGTGTTCAACAAACATCAGTAATTAACTTCCAACACACTTTTGGCAGCTCAATTTAACTATTTCCATTTGTATTCTAAAACTGGGTGAAGCTATTGGAATTTCTCAAAGCTATCACTCAACCTTCATCCGCCCCTTACCTCGTCCAGTTGGACACAGGTGGCGCCGGAGCAAGCTATCCTTGTGTCCAGCTGGTAGTTGGTGGCGCCGTTCTGGTGGTCCTGGAAGAACTGAACGTCCAGCTCTAGCTCCCGCAGTGGCCATGATAGGGAGTTGATCAGGTTGACGGCCAACAGCAGACTCTGGCCTACCTGACTGGTCAACTCTTGCTGAGGCTCCACCTTGCTGCTGTTGATCATCACCTCTGCGACAGTTAGACACAGTCATTAGTTTACTCAGATTAGAGTTGTCCAAGCAGCTAGATTTGATTTTCAAGTCAAGCTGAGCCCACTTGTATATTAGGTTTTTTTATCGATCTTCATTGGCGACTTTCAAATGAAGGGGCTTGCAGATGGTTCAACCATTTAAATAAATTAAGCAAAATTACAGCAACCAAGGATTATTTTATGTAGTCATTAAACCAATTTTTTTTCGTACTAAAATGAAAATGTATGTTCTCAATACGAGCGTTGTGGGACTTAAGTAACTCCCTTTTTCCCCATGGCAAGAAAGAATCAGCTGAAGTCAGGAACCATTTTGTGAGCTAATCTATAAATGTAAACAATGTAATAAATTTACATTTTGTGATATACTGTATTTATTTTAAAGAATGGTAGTATGACAAAAAATATAAATTACACAATGTGAGAGTGTATTTTTAACCCTCATTTTCTGAACCAGACTAAACTTGAGCTTGTGTCAAAAAAGTTACTTCAGGCCTTAATGATAACATAATACACCATTACTTAAAACAAACTATAAAAATGTAGGTTGCAATGACAAGTGTTACAACTGACCCCAGTTGATGGGAGACATGCGCACGATGTCCAGCATGCCCAAAGACAGCGAGATACCGTGTAGTGAAGCCGTGCCGCAGTGTTCCCCAGACACTAGACACCACCTCAGGTCTACCAGGGCGGAGATGTGGCTGCTACAGGTCATGTTCAACTCCATCAGGTCATGCACACTCTCTCCCGGCCGGAACAACTACACACACACACATCATTATACCTAGTTTAGGGTTATATGTTGAGGTACTGATCGAAGCATAGAACAGGACAATGGCTGGGTCGACACTTCAAATAAACCCTTCACTAAATAGTAAATACACCATTTAAAGTGAAAATGTAGTGAATAATTTTAATATTTAACTAATTCATTTTCTTGGAGAAAAAAAGCACAGTAACTATACTCAGAGTTATCCTTAGACAATTTAATTGTGTGTTTGTTCCATTTTAGTCAGCCAACTTTAAGGGTTAAAAATAACTGCATAATGTAATATCAACACTTGATGTCCCAATTCCAACACTAGATGGTTGATTAACATGGGCAGACGCACAATCATTTTTTTGTTTCTCTGCGATAATTAGGTAGCTTTTATCTAAGATGTTAAGTTCTATTTCGTAATTTTCCTTTGTCATTGGAATGTTGAAATAGAATTAAACAAAATTAAATACTTAGCATCAAGGAATGGATATAAGCAAAACATCATCTACAATATGATTAGAAACATAAAAAGAAAGACAAATCTAAATCAAGAACACAACAAAGAAAGAAAGAAGAAAGAGAAATTCATTAGCATCCCATTCAATACAACTCTTAACAGGACTACAAGAAAAACTTTTCAAAATTCTGAATACAAAATTGGCTTTAAAACAAAAAATAACGCTTTCAACAACTAATAACATTACTACAAATAAAGATCAAGACATCTACGTCAAATCTGGCATATACAAAATTAACTGCACTGATTGTGAACACTTCTACATTGGTCAGACAGGACGCTCTTTTAAATCTAGATTCAAAGAGCACATTCAAGCTCTTAAGAGCAACAACAGAACATCCATGAAATCAAACTTTGCTGAACACCTTTTATCGACCAACCACAATTACAGGAATTTAAAAAACAACATGAAAATTCTAAAATTTTTAAACAAAGGAAATCAAATGGATTCAAATGAACAATATTTCATATACAAAGAAAATCTAAAAAATCCAAATCATATTTTAAATAGCCAAATTCTTTCAAGAAACCCAATCTTTTCCAAATCGTGTCTAATTCTATAAATCATCTGTATAATTTAAATTATATTTATTTATATACAAACAAACAATATAAACAAAAGTTAGGTATTTAATGTTATTTGAAGTTTGAAAATGTTGAGAGCATAATGTAGCTGCACTTAATGTATAATTTTATCAAACAAATATTTTTTAAATATTGAGAATCCGCTTGATATTGTAGAAGGGTAAAATACAAAAATAGCTTTTTCGGATATTGAAGTAACAAAGATTTGATGTTGAGAGAAACACCAGATCTTGTGATGTAGTGGATTTTGATGACTGGCATTCATTTTTAAGTTCCTGTAAAACTGAATCCTGTTACATCTCTAAAATAGCAATATAATTATTCTTGATGATTGAATAGTAATAGACAACATTACAGTAAACTATTAGACACGCATCCAATATTTAATAGCTTGATTTCTTTTCAAACTGAAAATTGTATACAAGTTCCCTAAAAAAACATAAAAAAAATATTCTTATCTCTGACCTTGCCAATCTTGGTGAGTGGGCAGCGCTCGACGGGTATTGGGATACGACAAGACTCCTTCTCTTCCATCAGCAGGCTCTTATTCATCCCATACTTGAGTTCTAACTCTTGGTTGGTCATATTGGCAATATCCAAGACCAGGTAGAACTGGTTACTCCTTGACAAACATACAATTTTTGTTAAAAAAATAATTCTACATTTTTTCTACAGATACATAAGGTAGGCAGGTACAGTGATTATAGATTTAGTAAAATTTTCATCATAAAAGAGTTGACAAGATATTTTTCACGTGTCTCCTGCCTGGCTGGGGATTATCGTACAAAGACCTGACAGCCTCCTGCTGGTCCCAGGAGACATTTCTACTCATAAATATCAATTGGTTAAAAACATCTCTGTTCAGATTAGCAATCTAATGTGTCGTTATTATTTCTTGTGTAGGCTTATGATTATGAAAGACACGTTTATATTTGGATTAAGTTGTGTAGCCTCTTAATGATTTTAGTCAACAATAATAAAAATTTGCACGAAACCTAGGACAAATAAAATTGTTATATATGTATAAGATAACATTCAGGGCCGGTTATAGAACCTTGTCAGGGGTGGGGGCTAACTCCTCTTTCAACATGGTGTTCCTCCATGGTGTTCAAGAGGTGTTCCTCTTTGGTTACTCTTTCAAGTTATTTTTAACATCTAGAACTGTGTCCAACAAACTTCCACTCTTATAAATTGTTTATCTCATGTAAATCGTTAAAATAATTAGTTACTGCTACCTCATGAGTGTCGTAAAATCTTTTAACAAGTCTCAGTAAAATTTAAATTCAAAGCTTTGATGCAAATATTATTTTTCCTCAACAGTAAGTTAACTGAAATAATTACGTCTCAGCTGGCATGACATCCCAGTTGGTGATGAATACAGAATGGTTTATTTCCAGTGTGAAGACGAACATAGCGACTCTGCAATAGCCAGCACTCAAACCCGGGTCACTGGAGTACCTCACCTTCAGATGGCATTGCAGGGCCTGCAAATCATAAACAATGTCTCTGGACTACTGAGCGTAAACAAATACAGCTCCTGTAATTATAAGGGTAATTATAATTACAGGTTGTAATTATTGGCGCAATATATTTGAGCTCATGACGAAAAGAGTCACGTTAGGCCGTCGACACACGGGAAGACTGTTTTCCAACTGAAATCGGCAACTAGTTGGACAAACTAGTCGCCAGCGTCCCGACCAATGTAGTTAGGTGGGACAGTACACACGGTGCGACTGCTATGCGACCAGTTGAGGACCAGTCGGCGATCAGTCGTTAAGCAACCGGACCTGCCGGTTGCTCGGTGATTTCAGTCGCCTGGTTTGAACAACTTTTCGCATATTTGTATTGCGCTTTTCAAGGATCGGGCATACCAACTGCGATAACTCTTCGTAAGTACTTTTTGACATCCTGTTCATAGACTGAAATTTTGGGTCTGTTTCTTTTAATGCAGCGGCAGCTACAAAGAGCCTACATTTAATATTTGTTTTAACATAAGGATGTACCCAATACCTTCTACGTTCTTGATTGTCTATAAAACAGGGCTTCTTAATCACTACCACTCATTTCAAACACCATACACAGTACACAGTATCGTTATAAAAAAATTAAAACTCATTTACTGTCTCAACTCAACTACAGTCGCGCCCGTGTGCGGATTTAACCAACGCAACTGCAATCGTAATCGCGTCACAAAAAAGTTGGTTCAACTTTAGTTGGGTTTCAGTCTTCCCGTGTGTCGACCGCCTTAGTCTCTAGTGTTTCAAGATTCAGCTAATTCTTCATACAAACAACACATAGTTGAATGAGCCACTCAAAGACTATGCTACAGTTTAACTCTACAATTATATTTTCTCCCTTATTTTATGCTACTATAATAGTAGATGTGGTATAGTGATGAAATTAATAATAAATAAGCTGTCATTTCAATTTAGCATGGTTAAAAAGTTGACATATTTGAGATAAATTTACATCAGTGCACTCAGTCGGTGGCTTAATTCATCTACATTCACTTTCACTCTTAAACTAGCTACAACTTTACCATGGGAATGGAATATGTGGTCAAAGATATTACCTAATGAGGAGTTGGCACTATATAACTGAAAAGTTTCTAGATTACAAATGACAAACCAATTCATTTTTAGCAAATTTCCCATAAAAGTAATAAGCTATTACCATAGGTCTCATAGTAAGATCTGGACCTGCGACCAATTTACTTTTTCGTTTTGATGTCGTCAGAGACAAAAAAAAATTCAAATTCATATATTTATGTGTTTCCGGTTTCCGTTAACACGAAGACTTAACATGTTCGCTGCTGAAAACCTTTACACAGGCACTCGTAAACTGCGGCGAGGCCCAGGCGGAGCCCCGGCGCGCTACTGAATCAGCGATCGCAATTGGCATTCAAATATCTCAGTAAGACCAATCACAAAAAGGAGTGGTGATTGTTCTGCAATACTGCCAAAACTGGACGTAGTTAATTGAAACACCCAAAGGTAGCAGCACTCTCTGGATCAATAACCAGTGTCATTGTAATATGGCTTGAATAGAGAAAATTCCCGAAACCGGGACAAAAGCATTGGCAGGCGGGATTTCACGGGGAAATTTACTACCAACCTACACCACAATTATAGACTGGTATTACAGACACAATACAAACGCGTACCAACCGTCCTCGGTGAGAACCTGAGCCACAATGACTGGGCAAACAATGCATTTTGCGCTGTGTCCCCGGTGAGCCGCCTCTCACCACAGCATGCCATGCGTCACCGGGGACCCAGCCGCTGCGAATGTGATAAGCAAAATTTTAAAATATATTTGATTTTATGAAATTTGGTACAATTGTGCTAACCTGTGTTTATGAGAACTCCATACTAGCGTGATCGGACTATGGGAACGGAGGTTGATGGTGGTTTTATTGTGTAAAAATAGGTTTTCCATATTCAACCCTATAAACATAAAGTTTTGCAATTTCTTCCCAAACTATTTTGGAGAGTTGAAAAATATTTAGTATGTACCAATACTTTATGTATGTGTAGGCCTATATTGAAGTTTTTTATACGCTTGACGCTTGATGGTTAAGCACCAAATTAATATAAAATTTCCATGTCATTTTATGGATTATGGAAAATAAGTAAACTGTTACCTTGGGTGAATTTTCTACACACAGCTTGCTGAATTGGGATGAAAATGAGTTCAGACTGCTTCCTCCAGATCTGGAACACATATTTGATTTGAAACAAAATTGAAACAGGAACATATTAAAATTTAAAGCACAGAACGTCAATTTTACAAACCACCTAATCTGTAACAGTTATTTTGGCCAGAAGGATTGACAACCGATGATGTTATGGGTGTTTCCTGTATAATAAACAAATAAATGTAGGTTTTCAAGTCACTAGGTCCTAAAATGACTCTTTTCGGTCCTAAGTAGGTAAATGAGCGAGGGTTGAAAGTTGAAAGACATTTTTTGATCATGTGTTGAAATATATTTTACCATACTGCATCATCCCTTTAAGCTAAATAGTTAAAAAAAATTTAAATGTACATTGTTTATTATTATAAATAAGCTTCCAAACGGTTACCTTTGTTTAGATACTATAAACAAACAGCTGTTATAAATGTTGAACGAGGCTCAATCTCGTCCTTGTAAATGAAAATAAATTCATATTAAGTACCTAAATTTTTTTAAATTTAAATTTGCCCAAACGTGTTGATAAAAGGTTATGATGATAAACACAAATTTCAATATTAATACATTAATGTATTTGCAAATCAGGCTTATCTTTTCGGGCAAAATCAACAGATTGAGATGGCTTTTGGAGCTATAAAAATGTACAGCTGATGTCCTGGACACCGATAAAATAAATACTTTAGCTCCACAACGTGTGAATTGAAAACAATGGTTTATACTGGAGGATGAGGAAAATTAGTTTTTAAAACATAAAATGTTTTAAAATACTTAAGTACTTGATGGGAACAGCAAAAAAGTTACAATATGCCACAGTGATTGGTATGCATCAACGTCGGGGATGAAATGTTCACTTTGTATTAAACTGTGGTATTTATTTAAATAGCCACTCACAAAACAATAGTGATCACTAAATGTTTAGTTCAGTTGAAAAAATTTAACCAACTTGAATGATGAAGCGGTGGACTTGGTGACAAGACGCTCGGTGCTTTGCTTGTTGCTTGAAGAGGAAAGATATGAGCTTGGGGCTGAGAAAATGCTTCCAGCACTCCCTGCATCTGTAAAGCCCCGTTTTCTTTAAACATTTTGCCTGAAAAATGTTGCGAGCTAAGCTCAAGTTGATTTGAGCACAGCTCCCAACAATGTTGGCACACTGATTCCATTTCAAGCAGTTCCCGCAACATCAGCCAACCCCTCCTCACTCCAAGCACCATCTTTGCCCTTTATGCTACATCTACATCATGGGGAGTGAAGAGACCGCTGCTGCTTTTGTTGTAAAGGCTCGTTCTTCTTACCAATTTATTAATTTAAAAGGTAGAAAGCAACCGCAATAGTGGATTAGAAGTCTTTTTGCTTAAAGGTTTGTTGAATGTGCCTACAACTCCCTTTTGAGGTACCGGTAGGCTATTTAAAGCTCAGGCTGGATTTCAAAATTGTATACAAATGACGGCAAGTGATTTAGAAGAGTTGGTTTAATTGGTAGGTCCTCTAATCTCAAAACATACACCATAAACCAAATCTTTTAGTGTTTAACCCGTCTGCTAGGGGTGCGATATAGTGCTGGCGTCTGATGGAACTAATCACAGAGCAAGTTTGCATGCGTGAGTTCTGCTCACAATGTTGGCTGGAGGACACCGTTTCCATTAGGTTTTGAGCACAGCTCACAACGCTCACAACAATTTTGTGAGCTGCAATGGCTGCCAACACTTTTTGTTTGCCAACACTGCTCAAAACATTTTGCTTGTGTTTTCATTAAACATTTTACCTGAACATTGTTGTGAGTTTATCTCACAACAATGTTTTGAGCAGAAAATATTTTATGGAAACGGGGCTTTATGAAAATACAAAACATTTCAATTGTGTTGGCTCAATTCATCATCTCCTTTAATGTAAAATGTCAGCACAGTTTTCTTAATTATATATCAGGTTATTATGCTTACCCAACATTTAATGATTAAACTACGTAGCCTAAAGCTAAACACTATAAATTTTTTATCATATTTTTCAAAATTAAAAAACGCTGGCCAATGGCATGGGGACCTTCATCTTGGTCTAGCTCACAAAACTTGGCGACAACTTACCCTCCCTGTGCCTCTTATATTATTTTGTGTTTGCTGCTTGAGAATGACACCAACAATGACGTCTACTAGACATACCTTGGCTGTGGGAGGCCAGGAAGCTGGCTGCTCCCTGGAGCTGGAGCTGGAGGCTGCTGGAGGCTCCAGGCTGGATAGGGAGGGATGCTTGTAGAGACTCACTGTCCCACGTTATCACCTAGGCAACGGACATTAACACCACCACTTCTTTTCACAGCAAAAATCTGGGTTATCTTGGCAGTTAAAACAAAAAACTGTTACAAACGTCCCATACCACCAGCAGAATAAGTTCCTTGTCCCATAATAGTGATACTTACATATAATGCACCAAATGTCCTTTCATGTGTGAATATACGATCAGCCTAGTTGTTTGTTTTTATAACAGGAAGAGAGATTGAGGTTGTAGGCCTACATAGTTCTAAATCGATAAAACACCAATATATTTTAAATTGTTACTTATGAATTATTATACCTACGATCCTATTATCATCTTGTAAGTAAATATTTCAAGGTCTTATATAGGCGTAACTTATATAAGCATACACTGTTTAATAAGGAACAATTTAATATTATAATTTAACATAAAACAGGTAAATAGGTCGAGTTGATATTAATTCAATTGATATTAATTGTACACGATTTGGATTGACTGCTTTTTGAGATCGCATAGTTCAACTAGAAACTTTCACGACCATGTCAACAGAACCGAACTCCAATGTATTGCATGTTTTCTACCCTCCATAAACTGAGAGACACCAGGAATTGAAAAGTCTGGTCCAGAGGGCAGAAGAGTGAGGGGAGGGCTGTGACAGACATTGGTATAAGGTCATCCTCAGAAAAGGAATATATTTCGGAAAGTTTTTTGAGAGTATTCCTGATGATAATAAGTGTACATTGTTTTAGTGGTGTGTATTTGGTTCTTAATAAACAGAGTAACATGATAAAAGTCCACCATAAAATCTTCATTACCTTTTCACATTCGTGAAGGCACTCTAATGACACCTCAAGCCACTGTATTGGCAACTGGCCTTTATTAACCAGTTCTAACGTTGTTTCCATGCTAAAACAAAACAACTAATGTCATTAAGTTTAGTAAAGGATGTCTTAAAAATTAATAATTCAGAACTATTCTTTTAAAATATTTTTAATGTTCCTGGAACTGATTGATGTTCACAATCATTTGTAATGTTTAGTCTTTGCACATATGTGCGTATGATAACCCAAATATTAGTGAAGGGTGAGAGTAGAATGGAGTTTGATGCTTTTAGTAGTTTGTAGCTTTGTTACTGACTAATATCAGCTGTTTTATTTGTCAGGGCCATTTATTAAAATCCCAATGATCAAGGACAGCTGGGTCCAGTAGCGAACCATCAAAATGTTACACACTTTTCTCAGGATCGAACCGGCGACCTTTTGATTACTAGGCAAGCACTATAACCACTGAGCTACCCAGCTCAGGTAAATGAGGAGGGACTTAAGTACAAAGGAATTTGTCCTCATTAGATAGCTTACACACCTAAAAATTCTGTGACAGCTGTTTCTTGTTATTTAGATAGTAAATTGTACAATGGTCAACACATGACATCATTTTAGTATCAATTTACATCTAATGACTGGTATTTGTAAAAGTAATATAAAATGCTGCATAGTACATTAACAGCATATATTACCTTTCTCCGGCATACAGGGAAACAGAGACTCCATTTGCAGTTTTATTAGGCAATGACGATGTGATCTAGAACATTCAAAATCATAGTAGCTGTCAATAAAATCTACTAGTGATTATGGTAAATTAATAGTTTAGTCTTCAATGTAGCTTGCATGTGTTGGCCAAATAAATGTATTTTTAACTACAAATTATTAACTCCTTATATTTATGTTATATAATTTCCAGACCATTTTATCTTAACCCTTCAAGCTTCACTAGCTTATATTTCGGACAAGTAGTACAACCTGGGAATCAATTTTAGAAAAACAATACAACACCTGGAGACAGCGTCACCACGGGTTTAAATCCTGCCTCAGTCAGGTCTAATGTGCAACACATGGCTAGTTCACATGTCTGTGGCAAGTGTTGGGGGGAAAAGGCCTACGTCTGTGGCAAATGTTTAGATAAGAGGCCTACACTGTGGCAAATGTTTGGGGAAAAGGCCTACATCTGTGGCAAATGTTTGGGGAAGAGGCCTACATCTGTGGCAAATGTTTGGGGAAGAGGCCTACATCTGCAGCTAATGTTTGGGGAAGAGGCCTTTGTCTGTGGCAAATGTTTGGGGAAGAGGCCTACGTCTGTGGCAAAGGTTTAAGGAAGAGGCCTACATCTGTAGCAAATGTTTGGTGAAGAGGCCTTTGTCTGTGGCAAATGTTTGGGGGAGAGGCCTTCGTCTGTGGCAAATGTTTGGGGAAGAGGCCTTCGTCTGTGGCAAATGTTTGGGGAAGAGGCCTTCGTCTGTGGCAAATGTTTGGGGAAGAGGCCTTCGTCTGTGGCCAATGTTTGGGAAAAAGGCCTACATCTGAGGCAAATGTTTAGATAAGAGGCCTACTCTGTGGCAAATGTTTAGGGAAAAGGCCTACATCTGTGGCAAATGTTTGGGGCAGAGGCCTTCGTCTTAGAGAGTCTAAGAGGCCTACTTAAAATTAAAGTTAACAAGCTCAATTGGAAGTTAGGGATGAGAGAAATCTTTGTGTGAGTTGCACTTCAAATCATGCATTTTGCTACTTTTTGGTTATAATTCATGTGTGTGTCTACCAGTAACTTGTTTTAAAATAATTTTAATTTTTTGTTAAAGATGAGTGAAAAACTAACAATAATAGGTGTGGTTTAATTAATCTATGATCTATGGATTTCAAACGGATGAATGCATAGTTATGAAAACTTAAAAGAAATAGTTCTTGCCATTTTCTAAACAAACAAAAATTAAAGAATACCAGTTTACAGTTCATGAAAAAAATTTAAAACAAAATTTAAAGGTATTATTCTACAACACATTAATTTTCTATGAGGATAGCTTATTTTTTGTTGTTTTTTAGAAAACTCACCTCTAGAAGAGGTAAAGCAGGAATCACTTCAACAGTAAACATGGGCCGAGCAATTATAGGTATATTCTTTAGTCGACAATTGCTTTTTACACCAAGAGTGTGAGTTGAATACCCTGCAAAAAAAAAGTTAAATTAAAATGTTGCTGATGTAATAAAATTTGATTTTACCATGTACAGTTAAATGATTATTAGACTATGGCTCTTTGTGGACCTTGGTATTCACAGCTAAAATTCTTGAAGATCAGAACTCTGCCCAAGAGACCTATCTTTTTTTATTCAATAGATAAATCTATGAATGACAACAAAAGAGCTCAGAATCATCATGGGGTAATATGAACACATAGCCGATTGCCATTGATGATTGGCAATATTTGAACATGAACTTCCAGGGGAGAAGACACTCCTCCTCTAGATCAAAATCTTTAAACTGTACAAATCTACCAACAGGGAAAATTATTGGTGGTAAAGTGGTTTCCCAGGAACAAAAGAAACATTCCACTTCCTCAATATATTTGTTATACAAGGTGCCTTATACATGGTTTTGACCTGTGTAGTACTGAGACTGCCACAGCACCTAGTCAAAAATAAAAACTTCAACCAACAACTAGTTGACTCCCAATTCCTAACTAAAACACTGTTAGCACATGACATTCAAGAACATCTTCTGCGATCACAAGGAAATTGTCAATATCTTCCACGGTGATGGCAAAATCATAAACACCATTGACGGTCATGGCAAAATTGAGTTCTGCAAACACGTCCATCAGTTGGCAATGGATTTCAAATGGGGTCGACCCTCTTCCTATAGGACCCTAATTACAGAATGTGATTCTTACTTTGTGAGAGCGGAGATTTTTCTTCACATCATTATCTGCTACTACGACGAAACTTATCACCGCATAGAGGTAGAAATTGTAGAGAACAAAGTTAAGAACTTGGCCATAATGTCAGATTTGAACTATCTAGATTAGTCCCGGAACAGAAGCTTGTTAGATATTAACCCTTTCACCTCTCTTTTCGGCCGTGAGGCGACATCAGCCGTTTCTCAACCGTACCATGTAACGGCTTCCAAAATCAAAACAAAATCAAGAAAAGTTTTTTGGACAATTTTATTTTTTATTATTAGTAGACTATAGTTACAAGTTAAAATACTGGTAGGCTTAATGATCTGCATAATAAATTTAACCCTGGGCATTAGAGGAGCCCTAAAATGAGAATCAAAAGGGTTAAGTTACGGATGACTCTTGTAAGGTACCTGTAATCTCCAATAGTCCAACCTCTTTGGCAGTCCCAGCAAGAGTGACGCCCACATTGGTTGCCTCTGGGGGCAGAACCAGGGTGAGGGGAAGGCTCTCAAACACCACCCCAGAGGTCAGCAATCTCTACAAGTCCACCAACACTGTTATTATAATTATAATATTATAGAACTGATAGAAAAATAGTATCCAACAAAACAATACAACAATTTCAAGTTTCACGGTAGATTCAGTGTTTTTTTTTTCTTATCATAAACCTGAGTAATTTTTTTTTGCAGTCAATAGTTTTTTCATAAATTGTTCTTGTATAGAATAGTAACTAAAGGTATATACTGAATTGGACCTCAACTGCCATAGTGATTTTTAAATTCTACCTAAACCAAATACTTCATCCAGAAAAAATCTTGAAAAATTATTTTATCACCTTCAATCCTGAAAAAGAGTGCATAGACCTACAATCTCATATGACTAAGTTCCTATGGCCTTAAACTTGTACAGTAAATCTATACTATACTCCTTTAGCAGTACAGTATTAACTCAGAAATGGTAGAGGTGTGAACTGGTACACCTAGTACAAGCTAACCTCATATCTACAGCTAAGCTTACAGTGACTCAATGAGTCAATGTATTTCAAATCGTTGATATGCCTATTCTCGGTGGGTGCCACACGACATGTTGGCATAGAGTTATTGACTTGAACAAATATCCTACATGGCTTTAGTGGAGAGAGATCTCCAATACATTTAAACACTTAACCTCACTTAATATCTGTTCTATTTTTCCATATGTGGACTACAGCTTAAAAAAACTGATGTCTTAACCACAAAATCCCTGTGCTTCTTCTCATATTAAACTGATCTCAAAACCAACTTTAAACATATGAAAGTAAGAAAAAAATATTTGTAAAGCCTGTCGTGTTTTTTTGTGATTTCAGACTCAAATTATGTGGAAGCAAAGTACAGCTTATTTGAATCTATTTACTTTACCATGTTGGAAACTTCCAGTTCAAAAGGGAATGGGTTGCTCAGCTCAAGTTTGACTTCACACAGATCATCAGCAACCCACAAGTAATCTGGAATTATTAAACCATGATTATCAGATTTGTCTGAATGTTATTTGGATCCTAGATCTTTTTACTTAGTAAGTGTATGTAGTAAAAACTGTCATGCTACAGAATATGTGCTGATATTTCAGACTGATAATGGGTTAAAACCATTCAAAAATCATTTCAGTGAAATTTGTTATAAATGATGTGTTTTGACATGTCTACAGTACACTTGATTATCTGAGCCCCGGTTATTTGAGCTCTCGGGGTATCCGATGTCGTTTCTGGCATAAGACTATAGTTTTTTGTTTCAATTGGAACACATTAGTTAGGCCTACTTTATTACCTATATGTAGTATATTTAAACAAAAACAAAACTTGTAGACATGAATGTGTCAAGTTATAACGGAGGTCAAATAAAAAAAAAGTAATTTTATGATTTTCAAACTGAAAAGGACCACCTTATTGTTTTGTTTCAAATACTTACTTAAGTGCATTTATTATATTATTATATTAAATAAATAAATATAGGATGGAGAGGACACAGCTAACTCACCTGATGAAAGGTTGCAGATGAGTCAAAGAACACATAAAATCACACACATAATTTACTTAATATTTCGCCTCTTTCAGAGGCTTCTTCAGAAGTAGGCCTAGATGGTAGTTACAAAACAACAGTTTAAATAGGATGACACAGTTTGAACTCAAAATGTCTGACAGGTTGTCCAACTGACACTGCACAAAGCACTAAATACAGGCACATTGCAATATTGTATTTACATATAATATGTACATTGAAAAGCAAATTAGTTTTGTCCATGAAAAGAAATACTTAAGAGTTAGCTGTGAGGGTGAGGATATGAGGATATTATCTAATGTTGAGGTTAGGTGGGGTTCTGGAGTTGGTCACAAACTGGTAAGCTAATTCCCATCTTCTGAGCATTGAACTATTGCATTGGTTCTTTGGCAATGATTTTAGAGCTTTTATGGTGAAACAGTCATCAAATAGAAGTTGGTGGGATAAGGCATGTTGTGCAACTGGTTTTTCTTTGCTAGTTTTAACATCATGTCGATGGCCGTTCATGCGTTTTCGGAGAGTCTCGGTTGTTAGGCCTATGTACTGGGCTGGACAATGTGAACATTGAAGCTGGTAGATAAGGTTCTCTGAGCTGCAGGTATGATGGCCTTGGATTCTGTAATTTTTATTATGGTATGTGCTGGTAAAAGTTTCTGTAGGATGGTGTATCTGGCAAGATTTACATCGGTTTTCATTGCATGGGTATGAGCCCGGTCTTGGTTTCTCAGATGGTATTTTTGATGGATTTGGGAGTTTTGGGTGGACTAGCATATTCCTCAAATTTGGGGGTTGCCTATAGATTATGGAAGGGGCTCTTGAAAGGAGGTTTTTGGTTTGGCTGGAGGACTCTAGGATTTTGAAACCTGTTTTAAGGAGGTTGTTTAGTTGTTGCAGGCCAGGGTGGTAAGTGGTTATCAAATTTACTTGAAGATGGTTGGTATTTTTCTTTGTAGTTGGACGTGGGTTCTGAGCCGCTTGGATCTGAGATTTTACGAGAGTGCTAGGATAGCCTCGGTTTTCAAAGGCTTTTTGAAGTTGGGTTTGGTATTGTGTACGGTCTTTCGGTTCTGAAATTAGGCGATTTCCCCTTAGGGCAAGACTGTAAGGAAGTGATCTCTTGGTGTTATTCGGATGACAACTAGAAAAATGGAGGTATTGTTGGTGGTTGGTCGGTTTTATGTGGATAGATGTGGTGAGGCTATTGTTCCTTAGATGAATTGTAAGGTCTAAAAAGTTGATGGAAGTCTCAGAGAAATCCCAGGTGAAATTTAGCGGTCCAAAACTGTTGAGGTCTTCCAGGAACTTCCGTAGTGATTCTTCACCGTGGGTCCAAATTATGAAAATATCGTCAATGTATCTAAACCAGCAGATGGGGAGGTGTTCACGGCTAGACAAAAACTTTTCTTCATAATTCCCCATGTAGAGATTAGCATAAGATGGGGCCATTCTTGTACCCATGGCAGTGCCCTTGATCTGTAGGAAGTGTTTGTCCTGAAATTGGAAATAGTTCTTTTCCAGAATGAATTTTATCAGTTGAGTTATAAACGAAGTGGTGGGTAGGGATCCTTTGGGTCTGTTTTGAAGGTAGTTTTCTGTTGCTGTTAGGCCGTGGACATGAGGTATGTTTGTGTAGAGTGAGGTGACATCAATAGTGGCCATGAGAGTGTTAGCGGGGAGTGGTTGTCTGACATTGTTAAGTTTTTGCAAAAAATCATTGGAGTCCTTGATATATGAGGCCAAGTTTTGTACTAGCGGTTGTAGATAGGCGTCTACGTATGAAGAGATACGTTCCGTTAAAGAACCGCAGCCTGATACTATGGGCCTTCCTGGCGGTGGTGTTATGCCTTTGTGGATTTTTGGTAATATGTAGATTTTAGGGCAGATGGGTTCTTCTGGTATTAACAGATTTGTTGTTTCTGGGGAGATATTGTTGGATTTGGAGTGTTTGTAAATTATTTCCTTGAGTTCAGCGGTGTACTTTATAGTTGGATCTTCTTTCAGAGGGAGGTAGGTGGAAGAATCACTGAGCTGGCGTTGGATTTCTGACACATAATCAGATTTATTCATTATCACTGTGGTCGAGCCTTTGTCAGCTGGAAGGATCATGATATCAGTATTTGATTTTAAAGTTGAAATGGCTTTTTTCTCGGCTTCGGTGAGGTTATGGAGTGTTGTAGAGGTTACGTTGTTTTCGAAAGTGGGATCTGAGATGTTTTGTACCAAGAAGTTGATGTATTGTTCTATCGGATGGTCTGCTGGTAACGGAGGGGGATCGAAGTCCGAGGGTGGAGCAAACTTCGCTAGGGAGGGCGCCACACTGTTGGATTTCGAGTTGTCTTGATCTTGTGAGTTGAAATAATGTTTGAGACGTAGGTTCCTAGCTAGCGACATGATGTCTTTAACTAGGCCAAAATGGTCAAAACGGGGTGTGGGACAAAAACTGAGACCCTTGGTCAAAACTGTTTTTTCTATTTCTGAGAGCTGGTGGTTGGATAAGTTGCAAACTTGTTGTTCATTTGTAGAGGTTTCAGGGTTGTTTGGGACAGAATTGCTCTTGAATGGGGAAGTAGGAATCTTCGGTGGTTTAGGTAGAAAGGGTTTTTGGCCTACTGGTATAGGTAGTCCTAAGAGGGAGGCCAGACAAGGCCTATCTGAGATTAGAGGAACCTGATGTGGTTGGGTTTGTTGGACTAGGCCTATAGATCCATATTGATGTATATGTTTGATACAAAGAAACAACAAATCTGTTAATACCAGAAGAACCCATCTGCCCTAAAATCTACATATTACCAAAAATCCACAAAGGCATAACACCACCGCCAGGAAGGCCCATAGTATCAGGCTGCGGTTCTTTAACGGAACGTATCTCTTCATACGTAGACGCCTATCTACAACCGCTAGTACAAAACTTGGCCTCATATATCAAGGACTCCAATGATTTTTTGCAAAAACTTAACAATGTCAGACAACCACTCCCCGCTAACACTCTCATGGCCACTATTGATGTCACCTCACTCTACACAAACATACCTCATGTCCACGGCCTAACAGCAACAGAAAACTACCTTCAAAACAGACCCAAAGGATCCCTACCCACCACTTCGTTTATAACTCAACTGATAAAATTCATTCTGGAAAAGAACTATTTCCAATTTCAGGACAAACACTTCCTACAGATCAAGGGCACTGCCATGGGTACAAGAATGGCCCCATCTTATGCTAATCTCTACATGGGGAATTATGAAGAAAAGTTTTTGTCTAGCCGTGAACACCTCCCCATCTGCTGGTTTAGATACATTGACGATATTTTCATAATTTGGACCCACGGTGAAGAATCACTACGGAAGTTCCTGGAAGACCTCAACAGTTTTGGACCGCTAAATTTCACCTGGGATTTCTCTGAGACTTCCATCAACTTTTTAGACCTTACAATTCATCTAAGGAACAATAGCCTCACCACATCTATCCACATAAAACCGACCAACCACCAACAATACCTCCATTTTTCTAGTTGTCATCCGAATAACACCAAGAGATCACTTCCTTACAGTCTTGCCCTAAGGGGAAATCGCCTAATTTCAGAACCGAAAGACCGTACACAATACCAAACCCAACTTCAAAAAGCCTTTGAAAACCGAGGCTATCCTAGCACTCTCGTAAAATCTCAGATCCAAGCGGCTCAGAACCCACGTCCAACTACAAAGAAAAATACCAACCATCTTCAAGTAAATTTGATAACCACTTACCACCCTGGCCTGCAACAACTAAACAACCTCCTTAAAACAGGTTTCAAAATCCTAGAGTCCTCCAGCCAAACCAAAAACCTCCTTTCAAGAGCCCCTTCCATAATCTATAGGCAACCCCCAAATTTGAGGAATATGCTAGTCCACCCAAAACTCCCAAATCCATCAAAAATACCATCTGAGAAACCAAGACCGGGCTCATACCCATGCAATGAAAACCGATGTAAATCTTGCCAGATACACCATCCTACAGAAACTTTTACCAGCACATACCATAATAAAAATTACAGAATCCAAGGCCATCATACCTGCAGCTCAGAGAACCTTATCTACCAGCTTCAATGTTCACATTGTCCAGCCCAGTACATAGGCCTAACAACCGAAACTCTCCGAAAACGCATGAACGGCCATCGACATGATGTTAAAACTAGCAAAGAAAAACCAGTTGCACAACATGCCTTATCCCACCAACTTCTATTTGATGACTGTTTCACCATAAAAGCTCTAAAATCATTGCCAAAGAACCAATGCAATAGTTCAATGCTCAGAAGATGGGAATTAGCTTACCAGTTTGTGACCAACTCCAGAACCCCACCTAACCTCAACATTAGATAATATCCTCATATCCTCACCCTCACAGCTAACTCTTAAGTATTTCTTTTCATGGACAAAACTAATTTGCTTTTCAATGTACATATTATATGTAAATACAATATTGCAATGTGCCTGTATTTAGTGCTTTGTGCAGTGTCAGTTGGACAACCTGTCAGACATTTTGAGTTCAAACTGTGTCATCCTATTTAAACTGTTGTTTTGTAACTACCATCTAGGCCTACTTCTGAAGAAGCCTCTGAAAGAGGCGAAATATTAAGTAAATTATGTGTGTGATTTTATGTGTTCTTTGACTCATCTGCAACCTTTCATCAGGTGAGTTAGCTGTGTCCTCTCCATCCTATATTTATTTATTTAATCCAAGCTAAATGCTTTTTCCTAAAAACATAACCTTATATTATTATATTATAATTATTCTAATAATAGTAATAATACTGTGGCGGGCATATCTTATAGAGCAAAAGCACATTAAGAAACAGAAACCTAACAAATTGAATGGCTTGCCACGTTTAAAAGTTAATATTTAGGATTCTTTCCAGTTTTTAGATGTACACGATACTCAATACATTATTTACTTACCAACTTTATTATTAGGTTTGCTTGATTTCCTTTCCAATGATCCAAAATTTATAGGAGTGAAGAGGAATGGACCAAAGTTTTCTTTCGTCTTTTCTAGTTTGGAAGGGCGCAAGTGAGGTTTTAAGTTCTGGACTATAAAACTCCTGGAAAAACAGAAAATAGTATATGAGTCTTTCAGATACTGATAAAATAAAATAGATAAAGGTGCAATAATGAAAATGTAAAAATAGCAATGGCATGAGAATTATAAAAAAATATGGTTTTTCAATGGATAGATTTTGGAATGAACCAGTTTTTCCTATATTTTTGAACATTTTGATTCAACTAAGAGACATAAAATTTTGTCTAGATAGTAATGAATTAATGAAGAAATAGTTGATTTTAGTCACTAGTTACAAGCTTTCAAGCTTTCTTAAAAGGCAAACCACAATGCCAAATAAAATACAAAATACAATTAGAGTCTATGTAACTTTTGTTTGTAAAGTAAAACGGGCGGGCCGGAACGTAGTTAAAGAGGTACATTATGTCACATAGGTAGCAGAATTTTAAGCAGTCTGACACAGAAATGTGGGAGGTGATGCTGGGGTAGGTGATGGAAGAATACAGAATTGGAGGAGGACTTTGGGTGAGTTAAGTGGCAGAAGTAGGAGTAGACTGCAACAGGGTGTCCAACCTCCCATCAAAATAAAATTCAAGAACAATTCCAGGTTTCTGAAGAAGTTCAAAATATCCAAGACAAAACTTGCTGCTCAAAAAAAGCGAAAAAAACTGCTAGTAAACTAAAACCCCTTCTACATATTCTATAATAAGTAGTTGCCATCACGTCATCATTGGTAATCAACATCATTTCCCGGCATCATTTCTCGGGATCGAGACAACATCAATGATTTTTTCCCTTGATCGCGGCAATAAATGTGATTTTGCCATGATCACGGCACCAACCGAGATAATTTCTTGCCAAGTCAGATATCCGTAAAAATATCTTGAAATTGCAAAAATTGTGATGATTTACAGCGATTGCAGCAAATACGTGAGGTTGGCTGGACACCATGCAAACATAGCGCATATGCAACCTTGCCTGTCCTTCCGACCTTATGACTATCAAACTATTTTAATTATTCATGTTTTTTTCAATATCCTACTAGACATTTTTTTTATTAATTAAAAGTCACGTACTCAGCAGTAGGCACATTGATGAGGTTGACTGGAGGTATGACTAGTCCACTGTCCAACACTAGAGGTACAGGTGAGCCCTCACACTGGGCAGCCAATGACTGTAGCTGTAACGCCAAGTCATGACGCTCTCCACCAGTCAGCTGACTCCACATCACCTACACACATCAGCTGTTACAACACTCATTATATCGAATATCCAATACCTGAAATTCAAGCTGTACTGACTACAAAGTAACAGTATAAAGTAAGTTCAAACTGTAAACTAGTGATTATAAAGTTTAAACTTGTATTGAGTTATGAGGATGAAAGGTTTATGTTTTGATTTGTTTACCTGGAGTAGGAATGTCATGTGTCTAGTAGCTACAGCTGACTGGCCAACGCGAGTAGCAGCAATCACCAGGTCTTGTAGAACCTGCTTCTGCAACCCTGGCCAGCCTGAGAGCTTGTCTAGGGAATGGTCAGCAGGGTCCAGGGACAACTTGTGGCCTGCTAGTGCTTGTAGCATGAGGTTGTAGCACTGCTGCCAGTTGGTCTGTGGGTTACGGGCCGACACGTAACGTGTGGCTGCAAGTCTGCGGTAGAATGAAGCCTTACGCAGAAACCCTATCTTAGTGAACAGTTGTGAGAGGCTCATCAAGCGTTCAATCTGTGTAAAAACAGTAACAAAAATGTATGTTCAAGTCAGCCTACTGTTTATTTCATTTGTGTAGTATATTTTGTATATTCTGTCAAATTGGTAATGGCTTCTACTTTTCAGAAACACACAAATTAATTAGTAAATGGTTACGAACAGGAAAACAAATATTTAAAAACAAGAATGAGTCCAACTTAAAATATGTATGGATGAAATTTTTGAAAGAGTTCTAAATGTTCATATGGCTTATGTTGTTTTAACACGTTCGCTACTGATTGCCCCATATTTGAGATGTTGCGGTTATTGTCACGGCCTGAGGTATACATTTTAATATCACACATTGACCGGGTGTCACTTGGTTAACAGTACACACAGACCGCGAGCCAGTGATGTAGCAAAGTAAATATCAGTTTTGCCAACTATCATATGATGTCACTAATAATCCTATCCACAAACCAAGTGACGTACATAGTGCGACAGACATCTCTGTAAATGAAAAATGTAGTACTATTGCGGTAGCAAAGGTGTTAAGAATTTTTTTTTTACATTTTCCATCTCTGACTAAATTAAAAGCTTCACAAGCTAACCAATTCCATTTTTAAAATCATACCTTGGTCTAATAATATAATAATATACGTGAAAAAATTTTGAATACTATATCACCATACCTTTTCTTCCTCATTAAGGGTAAGATTAATGCTGATAACACTGTGCAAGAAGTTTGCTGCCTGGAGATAAGCCTTGTGTTGTATGGCTAGCCTAGCCGCTTTGTAGCATGCTTCTGTCTCTATAACATTGGCATTCTGGTACTGCAAAATATAACTTTCAATCAGTCTTGAAGCTTTGATTGTGCAACCTTCACAGACACTTTCTGCGATCTCCATAATAATGTGAGAATAAAAGCTTGATTCAGCTCAAATTTCTGTCCCAGAGCTCAATCACTAGATTGTAAGCTAAAATCGCCTTGGTTCGAAGATTAAGCCCTCACCTCTGCTTAAAAAAACATTGTCATTGATTTGGTTTCTTTCACAGACCCCAAAGCAGAACAACGAGCGACGCTGCGACATTGTCGCGGACACGAAACGCCGAGAAACGCGGGCCTGCGGACACATTTACGGAGTCATAACGACGATCGCGCCGTGGCCGCGATTATTGGACCGACGATCGCACCGTGACCGCGAGTCATAACGACGATCGGGCTGTGACCGCGGAGTCATACCGACAGTCACGCCGTGACCGCGGAGTCATAACGACGATCGCGCCGTGACCGCGAAGTCCTACCGACGATCACGCTGTGACCACGAGTCTTACCGACGATCACGCCGTGACCGCGAGTCATACCGACGATCGCGCCGTGACCGCGAGTCATGACAACGATAACCCCGTGACCGTGGAGTCATACCGACGATAACCCCGTGACCGCGGAGTCATACCGACGATCGCGCCGTGACCGCGAGTCATACCGACGATCGCGCCGTGACCGCGAGTCATGACGACGATCGCACCGTGACCGTGGAGTCATACCGACGATAACCCCGTGACCGCGGAGTCATACCGACGATCGCGCCGTGACCGTGGAGTCATACCGACGATAACCCCGTGACCGCGGAGTCATACCGACGATCGCGCCGTGACCGCGGAGTCATACCGACGATCGCGCCGTGACCGTGGAGTCATACCGACGATAACCCCGTGACCGCGGAGTCATACCGACGATCGCGCCGTGACCGCGAGTCATGACGACGATCGCGCCGTGACCGTGAGTTCTACAGACGATCACCCCGTGACCCGCGAGTCACAAGTTTCTATAGGTACCTGTAAATTGTTACCCATTTTTTGGTTTTTATAGATCAGTGCCACAAATGGTAAAAATTGATTTCGTATACCTTTTTTGGTAACTGCAATACAGTACTTTTTTTTATGCACAGAAAAAAATCCTGTCCCATCCCGTCCCGAAAATCGGGAAGGAAAGAAAAATCCCGTCCCGTCCCGTCCCGAACTAAAATTTCAATCCCGTCCATCCCTAGTGTGTTTATATAAAGAAACTATAGTACATTTAAAGTTTTACTTCTGAAGACCTTGTTAACACTTGTTAAGGTATCTGTATATATATATACATATTTAAAAAAAAGTAAATTTAAATAACCTGATTATGCCTACCCCTTAATAGTTTTTTAGTTTTTTGTTTTAAAAGTAGGCTATACAAGTTATTGAAATTTACTTATTTTATTTAACTATATTACTAGTAGCCCTAAAGAGTGAATATATATATATATGTATATATATACCAGTATATAAGTCATTATTTAGCTTTTTAGTTTTAGCGCTTGCGGACACATTTTGAGGTTTTCACAGGCCGTTGCAGACACGTAGGAACCATTCTGCTTTGGGGTTCACAGAGAAACTATTATTTTACTACACGTATTAAAAATTAATTAACTAATCTGTGAACAGACTTTTTGTGGTTGTAGCATCATCACTAGTAGATAATCATGCATTGATGTCTGCAATGCAATGCTAAGACAAATGCTTATCACTCCCAACAACATGTGCAAGGGATTTTAAGAAAGTGTATTTGTACGGTTTAATGTACTTTTCCAAAACACTATTGGTTTCTTGGTTTGTAAATTAATATTAAAAAAAAACCTCTCTAATCTGCCTTTATACAATTTTAATGTAAGACTTGACTTAAGAAACACTGAGTCACAACAGACATGACATTAACCATTTTGTAAACTCTCTTTCACTTTCTATCACTCGACAAAGCCCCTCAGGGGACGAAATATTGTGTGTTCTGTATCCTATGTTCTATGGCCTACCTGTGCGTCTTCAAGGTAAGCTAGCTTCTGTCCTATTACAATTCAAAATATCAAGTCACAGCTAAAGCTGAAAACTCAAACCAATTGATATTGCGGTAAAAAAAACTTTTGAGATGAAAATAGCATTACAAATTTTACCTTGCTGTAGTGGACTATAGCTTCTCGGAAGAACCTGATGATGTCGTCAGGACTCAGTAAGTTTGTAATGTTCTTGTGCTCTGATGTGATGGATTCAACAACTTCTTTAGCCACTTTGCTGTCTTGTGTTGGCCTGCAAATGCATTAAATGCTCTGTTATATCATGACTAAAGAGAATGGCTCCTATAAAATCTATATTACGAATCGTTATGGATAAAGTCTTGAAAATTCTTGACCAAACATAATTTTTATTCAGTTTAAATGTGAGTTACTATCATAGGTTGATCCAGGGGGGGGGGCTGCATCCCCCCTCTCTGGGTTATTATGTGTAAGAATATTTTAATAAAATAAGATGTAGATGTCGTAAGGTTAAAATTTTACTCTTCGTTCCGCCTAAAGACTGACCCAAAGTTTACAGTTACCATGTTCAAACATTTTCAAACATTAATTATTAAAGACTAGAACATCAATCAGATAGGCCAAGAATTGTAAAATACTGAAATACACATACACATTTCATGTATATTTTTTAATCACCTCTTATCTAGCAAGAAGCATGGGCTGAACCAGCCAATTAAAAGGAAGGGGAGAGGCTGCTTTCAAATACAATAATGTTCTGGAGTGTATTGCAGCCAACTGTTAGCTAAAAGGAATTTACCGTATATTATACGCTATAAATTGATGAGTGAATACAACACTTGCCTTCCAAGCCCAGTTATCTACTAGACAAGACACAGTTGTTTTGTGTATTAAGCCCTTTAGTATACAATACTTTCTATCAACACATGGATGTTAGGGATCAATAAGACAATAATTGATCAATTTCCTGTTATCAATTTTACTTATCACCGTTAATTGGTTTATGCCATGAATGAAATCGACTGAATTGAATTCAAATGGCTGAAATAGCTCACCGAGTCTGTGTTTCAGGGAGAGAGGAGTTTTTCTTCACTGGTGATGATCGCCCCATGTTAGGATAATGGATAATAGCTGACGTCGCACACAGACCTTCTAAAGCACCTGTCAACAGAAAGAGAGGATAAGTACAGTACTTGTCTTGTAATTGTGTAGCCTATTTGTGAAAAAATATACATTTCTATTTTTTTTTTTTTTTTTTACAATGCAGTATGAAAAGTTTTCAAAACTATGGATGACGAATATATATCAAAAGATTCTAGTCCTTACCATGACCTCATCATGAACTTATCATGACCTTATGATTGGTTCCTCTCAAGAGGCTTAATTAATGTAGGCCTATACACCAATTTAACTTTTCAAATTTTTGCCAGTGAGATAAGCCTGCTGTTAAACCTATCCACCGCCAAATCTTTAAAATCTGGCTTTAGAAAAATGTTTTACAATTACAATTATTTGAGTTTTGGATCGAGAAAATTTAAACATATACCTAAATTTTACCCTTTAATTGAACTTCATTATTAATCAATAAATGTTATTCAACTCACCAGCTAGCCAGAGCCAATCGTTGATGCTGCGCAGAATGTCAGCAGCGGTCTGATAATGTCCAAGAGCGTCGTTCGCCAGCCCGGCCTGAAGACTGAGATCTCCGAGATGTTTGGTCATGCGACCGACGCTGCGCTTGCGATTACTGCGCGACTCCATGTCTAGACCTACAAAGTCACGTCGCTCAAACGGAGCTAGCAGCAGCGACACTTTATCAATCTGCAAATCGTGAATAATTACGACTTGTTAACTAAAAATAGGTAAAATACTTTACTTTGGAAGCGTTTCTCTAATAAAACATAGGCTACTAGAGGTTGTTGAGTGGTCGAAAACTCAACCCAAAATATGTAATGTACAGACCTCTCTATTTTCACCTCACGCTGTAAATAAAACATGTGATTGGAGTTTCTTCCATTTATTTTGGTTTTCTGTTTATATTTCGTTGTTATTTCGTCACCAGCATAGCACCCATAAGACCCATGTAATTTTTTTTTTATATCTTAAATTCATTTGTTGTGCTTATTTTTTAGGCTATTTTAATTTATAAAGGGATTCTGCACATCTACAGTAAAATATCTTTCTAACATTATGCGTAGATTTTCCCTGCAATTCACACGAGCTGAGAAAAAAGGTTTTAAAGAATTGCCTTTTAATATATAGATTTTTAGAACAACTACTTTCAACTAGCCTAATGCTAGTTCAACATTATCATTAAACAATTAATCCTATATTAATAGGCAAGCATGTTTCTTGAAAACCTTTTTTCAGCTCGTGTGCATCACAGGGAAAATCTACGCATACTGATAGAAAAATATTTTCCTGTAGATGTACAGAATCCCTATATAAATTTAAAAAGGCTCAAAAACACAAAAAAAATTATTTTTAAATAAAAAAAATTACATGGGCCTTATGGGTTGCCATGCTGGTGACAAAATAACAACAAAATATATACAGAAAATCAAAACAAATTGAAGAAATTCCAATCACATGTTTTATTAACAGCGTGTGATGAAAATAGAGAAGTTTGTACATTACTTGTTTTTGGTCAAGTTTTTGACCGCTGGACGATCTCTATTTTAATTTATTTTGTAATGTTTTGAATATTGGGTGTAAATGATTTTAGGCCCCAGGGTAGCCCATTGTAATAAGAGTAACTTTTTCTCCCGACCTCTGAGAAAATGCTCAGTAAGTGAACCTTTCCACCACAGTATGTATTACGCTTTATATCTTCATCTTGAATAAGTAGTTTTGCAAAGGTAGTCAGGCTCACAGACAGACAGAACTATTTGTGTCATATGACTAGCACTGTCAGGTTAATTAACAAATAAGTTTTTAACAGAGAAGTAAGGTACAGAGGAAACATTTAAGTCGTGTCTAGCACTTGCCCTTTTGTCTAGGTAAAAGTCCCTCCTCGACCTCAAGTGCTACAACGCTCTCAGTGTAGGAAGACCCTGTGCGATAGGAATTCCCATACAGCGGTCGCCGTTTGGGTTCTTCAATGCTCGTCACAAGTATATTTCCAGCAAAACACAACATTGTTTTCCTCTGTACCTTAATTCGCTGTGGTTTCCCTGAGTGTAAGGTGTAAAGTAAGCAGCAATTCAAATATTTAACTTTGAACAAGCTTACTCATCTTACACTTAGCAAAGTCTAGTATTTTTATCTATTTATTTTCTGTATGTATTTTCTATGCAATATGCATTTTTAACATTTTTTTTGTGAGGGGAAAGGTCCAAGTACTGGTCTTGTTTATCTCTAATATCAACAATTTGTCTCTAATATTGCATAATTAAATACCCCCGCCACAGCAAACCTGCCGACTAAGCGAATTTCCATTTGTCTGAATTGATTTTCAGTTAAATATATTTTAATAACATTAGGTTTAACGAGTATCTAGGTTTGCTGCTACAAGGAAACTAATAAAGTGTGTTTTTGAGTAAAATATTGATAGCTTAGTAAAAAAATAAATAAATTTGCCAAGTTTGATCAAAATATATCCATAAACAAGCAAACTAAAACATTTGGCAGTATTCTCCATAAGAATAACATGGGAATTTTAAATTTACAATTTTTTAAATTTTTTTCGTTACTAATAATTGAACAAAAATACTTTTATATACTAAATTATTTTGTTAAAGCTCTATAAAAAGGTCTAAAGAGAAATCGGGATATTTTGTGTTTTGAGGGTCAAAAGTGAAAAAAACCAATTTTTACCCCATAAAACCCCCCGTATAGCCCCGTTCCCATGGTCCGAACGTGCTGGTTCGCGAACTCATTCAAGTTTATCTCGCTTTACACCTCTAAACCAAATTTCATCAAAATCGGACAAAAATTACTCAAGTTATCGCGTTCACGGACGTATATAAGTCTATATATATATACATTTGTTTTAATAATACATATATAAAAATTTGAACAAATGGTGTTTCTGGCCTCTGGGGAACTTCCCTATAGGGAAATTCGCTAAAATGGCATTTGGGTCTACAATCAATCTCACTTGAAATCAAACCAGCCACAGATTTGAAGAGGAGCACTATAACCACTCGCCAACCAAGATAATACGAATTGTTACTTAAATGTTCATCAAAACACAAATGGTATTGTGAGGTGTTTATGTCGGGTAGAGCACCTATCGTAAACTTACCTCCGATTTGCTCGGACAGCTCGAGTAGTCCAGGGTCTCGCTGACAGTCCTCGTCGCTCGCTTACCACTTCTAGATCTTCGTAGATGTTTTCGTCCTACACGTACCCGAGACTATGGTTGCGTGTCAGCACAACGACGCGCTGACCAGGAATATATCGGCACTAAATACGATGCTGTTATGAGAATTAAAATAAGTGACCAGCTTCTAGTCTAACAAAAGGTATCGCTTCTCGAATAAAACTAAAAATAAAACTCTCGTAATGAAATAAAAGGTCGACCCGCGCAATAACAAAATAACGAAATGAAATGGCGTCAGCGCTAATATGCCAATGAACTTCTTGGCTTCGAAATATAACTAAATGAAATACTTTTAGGTAAAATAAAATAAAATAACTTCCGATAAATAAACTAAAAAGTGTAGGCTACTGTGGCACCGCACACGCAGTGCCGGCCCGAGAAATACAATACGCTAATCACCTACAACTAAGATTATAGTAAATGGTAACTCTTACTCGCCAAAGTAAAACGGGGAAATAAGATGGTTATTAACGTAATGATATACCACAGTACTTACGTCTGACGATACTTCTCTCGATGTATTATTTTTCGCTTTTATGTTGCCTCGCACGTTACGAATCAAATCGACGACCGCTGCACAGGTCCGCTGCACGCTCTTGAGGAAGGTTGTTAGGCGAACAAGCGCTCACCGTAGACTGTCCTAAGAACTGTCCACCGGTCTCGGCTTCTCCCCACCACGTCTACGTCAGCGCCCCGAGGTCGCGGCGGTCAAGTCACGAACTAGGAGCCTTGACAAGTGGACAACTGGACATGTTTATTTCCGATAATTGTTGTCGAGCGCACTCTAGCACTTCGTGGTCTTTAAATAATTAAAACGAACCCCCCTAATAAATTTGACCATTACAGTATATACAAATAATATTTTATGCTGTTATTCTAAACCATTTTATTTTAAGACCCTAAATTTCAAAAAAGGGACCTTCAATTTCACTATATAATATATAATACAATAAATACACTATATAATATAGTACTAGATAAATGACTGTGAATAGAATAACAAATTTACAATACAAACCTTTTCTCTGCATCTCTCGTGTCTTTTGGACTCAAGCACCCAAAATAGAGTAGACAAAAACTCAGTGACATGTGATTCAAGAGATTCAAGTTCACCGTCTGTGGCGTAGAATATGGCACGACTTTTGAAATTGGACGGTGTGGGAAAAGACGGTGTTTCTGGTCCGTCATTGACACCAATGACTATGCATCTTGAATCATACAATGTGTTTGTGTACTTCACTTTCAGGCTCTCATGAACTCGGCAAACCTCGTTAAGTTCCAGTTGTGTGCTGCATTTGCCTATGTAAAAGTAAAAAGCTTTGTCATGGTGGTGCCTAATTTGTTTACTCTATTGTTTGGACACTACTTATGTATAGCATGTTTCAGTAAACTAAAACTTATTTTCAGGTAATTTAGTCTTATGTATCTATATACCCTACCGCACACGAGAGACTTTTTGTCGGCCGACTATTTAGTCGTAGTCGGGAGTCAAAGTCGGCCCCATAGTGGTAAATATGAGCGTGCACACGGGCCGACCGCAGCAAGACAGTCGGGGCAGTTTGGTGCTGACCGATTTTCCCGCCGACTGCTCCCCGACTCAACTGTCGTGTCTTATTGATAAAGGCACGGAGATAAGTTTGAACGCGCACAATGACGACTAAAAAGTCTGTCTGTCTGACAGTCGAGTGCGTTGTTATCATGTGTATTATTATTGTTATTATGATAAGTACCTATTATTATTTGTGTGTTATTGTTATTATTATGGCTTCGACAACCACCAGTGCATGTGTTTTGAGGGACGAGAAAGTTAATAAACTTATCGATGAAGTTGAGGCACGGTCCCCTCTTTATAAAAAGACTTTGAAAGAGTATTTGGTCATAGTAAAAAAATACCCCCGCTGCAGCAAACCTACAGACTAAGTGAATTCCCATTTGCCTGATTTAATTTTTTATTTAATCTATTTCAATAAAATTAGGATAAACGAGTACCTAGGTTTGCTGCTACAGGGAACCCCGTATAATTATCCCAGTATAATTCAGGGTGTGTTTTAGTAAAACATTAATAGCTGAGTATAAAATAAATAGATTTGCCAAGTTTTATCAAAATACATCCACAAACAAGCAAACTAAAACAGTTTACTTGTTCTAAATATAAATGACATGACAATTTTAACTTTAAAAATTTTGGAATTTCCCTGTAACCATTATGATAACAATTAGCATGCTAAATTATTTGTTTTTCAAGCTCTGCAAAATGTTTTCTAAAGAAATTGCGGAATCTTTTGTTTTTATCGTAAAAAATGGGAAACCCCCATTTTTACCAGATAAAACCCCCCATAAACCCCCTTTCCCATAGTCATGCTGGTTTGCGAACTCATTCGAATAAAATACATGTAGATTTACACGTTTGTACCAAATTTCATCAAAATCGGATAATTTTGTTCGAGTTATCTTGCTAACGGACAAATATATATATGTGTGTGTGTGAATTTAAACGGATAGTGTTTTTGGCCTCTGGGTACATCAAAACTAAAAGGTAAATCGGTCCCGGGACCAGGTCTCACCATGAGACCTACGGTTACAGCTTATTCCCTAAAAGTTATGGGATGAGGTATTTGAAGCCGAGGTATTAACAATTGGTCAAAAAAAATCAACACTCATTCATGAGTACATGAAAAATTTGTCCGGATACTTCCTCAAATCCGAGTATAGAGGTAAATCTGGCCTTTCAAGGTTCTCGGACTATAAATTGGATGCACCCAGTATTTTCTCTTAAGTTTTCTTGCACGAAATCTTGTCAGTAACGCACATATGACAGCGGTTTCTGTCATATACATCCCTTTGACACTCGAAAGACGACTATACAGTCGTGTCGTGTGCGCACCCATAGTCAACGACCAAACAGTCTTGACGACTTTTCGACTGTCCACCCGACTCCAGCCAGACAGATGGCCAACAGTCTGCTGACAAAAAGTATCTCGTGTGCGGTAGGCCTAATACAGTAGAACTTCAATAGTTGGATACCTATGCCGTGATGACATGACATGTCATCAGAGCCCGATGACGGGTTCCCCTAGGTAAAAAACTAGAGCCTTCTTATTGTTTTCGTGCACAGCTAAAGTGTGCAGCAGTTGAATATAACAAACTATTTTATATAGTAAGTAGACAAAGAGTGTACAATAGAGATGAAAGTTGATAAAGTTAGTTTATTTTTGTCAAGTTCAATACTATTCATCAAATTTGATTGCTTTATCTTGTGTTTTAAATACTCCATTTGTGTAAAATGACCAACATACTCCCGATAATTCGGCATTTTGATAGTTCGACACCCTCTTAGTCCAACTATCAAGGTTCTACTGTATAATTAGAGTTTTCTATGTGATATCCTCATAATTGTAACCTGATTGAGGTAGGTAAATCACTCTTTATGGTGTAGATCTCAAATTAAAAATTTTCTTTTTATTTACCTAATAGGCCTAAATGTCTTAAACAAACAATCTTTGGATGTTATAAGGTTTGCATTTTACTTTACTTTAATACTTTAATCTGAAATGGCGACCATACGAATGTAGGTATTTTATGCTAAGTATGAATGGAGATGAGAGTAAGATGAGTGGCGCGATCTTGTAGTCTAGTTAGTGACAAAGGCCGACATTTTTCCTTAGACACAGCTGTCAATTAATAGACCATACAGCCAATGGCAACTACGGGACCTACAGTTTATAGTGGAATTCAAAACCACTATTTTTCCTTGTTATTAACGATAAATACGGTCTAATTATCACGATAAACTGTCTAATTATCACGATAAACTGTCTAATTATCACGATAAACGGTCTTATACATAAAATAACATGTATTGAATAGAGTCAACTAGGCTATAAATACATATAACTACATATTACAACATACATATACATATTTTATTGCTTAAAATATACTAATAAGATAAGTGAAGAATTTCTAATTGAATATATTAAAAAAATAACACTATTGCAATCATAATAACATTAGCAGTTATTAAAATAAAAATAAAACATATATTCATTTTCTGGGCTTAAGTAAAAATATACAAAGAAAAGAAAAAGCATTACTAATCATGGTGAAAATGTAAATTGTTCCCCTAATTTTGCTATGGAATTCAAACTACTAATTTTTATTTTTAGCGAATTTCCCATATAGGGAATAAGCTATTACCGTAGTACTCATGGTAAGACCTGGACCCGAGACCGATTTAATTTTTCATTTTGAGGTCCCTAGAGGCCAAAAACACCATCCGTTCAAATTCATATATATATATATATTTATATATATATATATATATATGTCCGTTAGCGCGATAACTTGAGCAAAAATGATCCGATTCTGATGAAATTTGGTACAAACGTGTAAACCTACGTTTATTCGAACGAGTTCGCGATCCAGCATAATCGGACCATGGAAACGGGGGTTTATGGGGGGTTTTATGGGGTAAAAATGGGTTTTTCCCATTTTTGAACCTAAAAACAAAAAAATTTGCGATTTCTTTCTAAACCGTTTTGTAGGGCTTAAAAAAAGAAATAATTTAGTATATTGAAGCGCTGTTGTATGCCTAACGGTCACGGAGAAAATTCAAAAATAGTGTAATTAAAAATTCCCATGTTATTCTTATGGAGAAAATGAAAATTGTTGTAGTTTACTTGTTTATGGGTATATATTGATAAAATTTGGCAAATTTATTTATTTCATCCTATACTATTGACGTATGGTCAAAAAACACTTTATACCTTCCCCGTAGCAGCAAACCTAAGCACTCGTTAAATCTAATGTTATTTAAATAGGGAATAATATGTCTTATTTATGGAAATATTTTAGTAAAAATGTAATCAGACGAGTTGAAATTCGCTTAGTCTGCAGGTTTGCTGCGGCGGGGGTATTTTTTATTCTTCTATGGAATAAAATGGAAATTTAATTAAAAAGTCTCTTAGTGTTCTTTTAAATTTATTCAAATTGTCTTCTCTCTTTATTTCAACCGGCAGGTGTTGCAAAAAATTTAAACCTGAATAATAAGTTTTTTTTTTTTAAATATTCCAATTTATGTCGTGGTAGGTTAATTTCAAACCTAGTGTTATAGTCACCAGTATTGCTTGAAGTAGGTGGATGACAGTTGAATTTGTTTTCCATAGATAGATGTTTCACTGTATAAACAGCTTCTTATTTGCATTATTAAAATTAAAAACAAGTTGGATGATCGTTTTGAGAGGTCATCTTTAGAAAAGATTTTTTGTTTGTTTTCCAGCTTCGTTTGTTAAGCAATGTTGCAATATGATGAAAAATATTGTTCCATCACATGGGCAATGAGTATCTTATTAAACCTCGCTCATTTCCGACCTCGGCGAGCTCAGGTCGAAAAGAGTCACTTTATGCCCTTGTGATAAAATATACAATAGGCCTACTATTATTTTTTAGCTACCTTTCTTTATATTTTTTTAGTTTCATTTCCATCAAACACAATTCTTTATAGTTGCTGGTAGAGCAAGTTAATTGTGTGACTTACCAACAGTTATCAGCCCATACAGCCGACGATGAGTTTGGAAATCGCCCCAGTCATTGTTACCAACTAAATAGTCCTTGACATATCTGGATTTGACGGTCCGTTCCACACCATTGCTATCCATTATATTTAAGCTTGTTATCTTAGAGATTCTATCAAATATCTTGTTGTAAGATTTTTGTTGTGTTTCCTCACCTTCAAAATATAAAACAGATCTAACAGTAGTCCAGTAAAAAATAAAATTACAAAAGTAGAATGTCATTAAAATTATGTTATTCAGAGGTTAGGAGATTTTTGTTTAAATACACCCTGTCCCAAAAAGAATGAATCAAATCTACAGCTAAATATGTGTTACCAAGAGTTGTAAAAAAGTCAACTATGGTTGATTTTAGAGCTGGCATCTTTAAATTTTTTAGTACCCTTCAACAGTAATCAGTTGTTCCTTAGTTGTTGGCACATTTGCATTATCAAATTTTCCTGAGGTAGTGGCTGTCACCAATCGCCAACTTGGTCAGCAACAAAAACTAAGGTATGAAATAGAATTTTACACACTAGCACATTCTGTGACTGGCTCACACAACTACATTATTTTTTAATGAAAAATTGGCGACAGCTGGTCCATATAGTTGGGATGTCTACTTTAGTATCCAATAGTGAAGTCCAATCATGTTTTTAGGACTGTTTATTTATTATAAGTCCCTAATTCCAAAATTTAGTAGATAGACAAACAGACTTAAACTTAGCTCGTATTATAGTATAGGATAATTGAGAACATTTCGTTCGGTGAAACCATAATAGGAAAAACTTAGGAACTTAAGGAAATTAGGGATGGACGAGATTGGATTTTTAGTTCGAGACGAGATGAGACAAGATTTTTTATTTCTCATAAAATTTCAAGACGAGATCGAGACGGGATTTCCCTTCTCATACACAACGGGAAATGCACGTTCAAAATTTTTACCTGATTTTGTAACATTGTTAGATGACTGTTTAAATACAAAAATAATGATAATAGGCAAGAATATTTACAATCTTTTATTAAAAAACATCAGCATAACATTTTTTTATTAATCACGCCTAACTTATTAAAAATGCCTACGATTAGGAAACATAGTGATATCAGTTAGGATAGAGTTCAACTTACCCTAAAATAAAATAAATCATAAAATAAAAGCAATATTAATTTTTATAAAATAGTTACTTGTTTTGACTTTTTTTAGTAATAAAACATTCCTCACACTGCTTACACTTTACAAAACTTCTCAAATGTTATTAAAGTAGTATTATTAAAATAATTAAAGTAATATTTACATTTAAAGAATTAATAAAATAAGAACGCCTTCACAAAGGAAACGCAACTACAACACGCTCCTGTATTGCGGGTATATTGCATTGACTTTCTGCAGGCGTTTTTTTTTTTTTTTTTTTTTTTTATTCCCGTCTCGGTAAAAATCTCGGCCCAAAAGAAATCTCGTCTCGTGTAACGAGATTTAAAATTTCCCGAAATTCCGAGACTTGACCATCCCTAGGAAAAATTTATATAAAGTTAATTTTTTATCTTTAATAATTACCTAAGTGATTATGCCTGTTTACTTTTGATCCATTCTTTTTGGGATATCGGGTATATTTAATAAAGTAACTTTTAAAAATCATCCAGTTTTTTTAGTCATCTGAATTTAAAATGCATTATTTGGTTTACATGCATAAATATAATTGGCCTACCAGCTTCAAACTATTCTGAATCAAAACTATTTTACAAAGATAAAACATTATTATATCTTGTAAAACTGGTGAGATAGAGGTGAAGTTTATATGATGTATTAAGTTAAAAATATAGTCTTGATTGCCTGTTCCTTGTTTTGTAAACTCCCACACAGATTACATGGAGAAAAGATTTACTCATAAACTATATGTTAACCTCATGGCAAATATAAAATCATCAACATTCTCAGAGAACCCAAAAAAATAATAGCCTAACGTCAGTAATGCTTGAAATTGACCTTTGATCTTTTAAATTACCTATTTGTTTGACAAGAATCAGCAGAGTTGCATGATCATGAGCATTCTGCTCATAGTCGGGGTGTGACATGTTGTTATCCGGGGTTGGACTTGACAGGATGACGCTTACCGAAGATCTCATTGGTGTAAAGGTCTGTAAATAAGCTATGTGTTAAAAACATTCCTACGTAAACTTACTGATTCTAGGGTGAAAATAAAACTGTTTTTAAAGCAAAGATTATATTACTATAGGACTTAAGCAAAGCCTAATAAAACTTATAACCACCTTATTACTGAAATGTAATAACAATTTATTGTAAAACATATATTGGGTTGTGAGCCAGCTATTTTATTTTTTAGTTTTATTAGCTTTAATTTAACATTTTGATTTCAGACTTTTTCTTTTGATTTTTATCCCCCCAGGTACATGATATTGATACTGACGTGTCCGTTAAAGTGTCCTCTATCTGGTGACATCATCGGTATTATGATACGCGGACGTATTTTGCCGCAAATCGGTCATTAATAGATTTTTGAGGGTGCGCGCACTACTTATTGCTGATTTTACCCTCTCTTTCTTATCCGCCAGGTACATGATATTGATACTGTCGTGTCTGTTAAAGTGTCCTCTATCTGGTGACATCATCGGTATTATGTTACGCGGCCGTATTTTGCCGCAAATCTGCCAGCAATAGATTTTTCGGGCGCGCGCACTACTTATGGCTGGAGTTATTGCCAGGTTCACACAAGTCAATTACTATCAGCACATCGGTTTAATCGGACTAGATCTGTAGGAAGTGGGCGGTACTGAAACAACTGTTCTTGTGGGAAAGATTTGAGACCAGTGATCCTGTGTCTAAATACAGTGCTCTCTTAAATTCAAGTCATATTAAATACTGTATAGGCTACAGTATGCATTTAAACAGTTCGTTTTAAAGAGTTTTTGGGGACGTCGGTTTAACCGGAAAATCCATTATCCGGACTGGCCTCGGTCCCGAGGAGTCCGGATAAGAGGGAGTCTACTGTAGGTAAGTTACCTAAGAGGGATATAACCGACCAAGTTTCGATATAGGCCAATCATAGCCTATATACAAAATTGCAGCCATAGACCTAAGGTAACGTCTTAATTTGCTTGAGGTTAAGTTACATGTTGAGCCACTATGCTTCTAAATTACTCTAAAACACATTTCATAGTTTAATCAAAACTTACCTAATGTTAAATGCAATGCTGCCCATCCCCTGGAAAAAGTTGTGAAAAAATTAGCAAAAGTAGGGTTAGGCTGTCGGAGTGATTCTAGTGTAAATTGTCATGTTTAAGTTTAAAATAAATCCATTATCATTACAAAAACTAAATTTTACCGTTCGCGTCAATTCAAAATTACATTGAGCACCAAACTAAAAATAATTGTTTAATAGATTGAGACTGAAATGACTAGTAAGTGGAAGTGGACTAGTAGTGGAAAATCCAATTCCAATGTTGACACCTGACAGTGTTGTGTGTAGTGTTGACTGTTGACTGACAGTGACAGTTGACTTGACAGTTGACAGTGACACTCACTTCACTACTGAGAGTGGAGGCGGCCGTGCTAGTGTAGTGAGTCACTACACTATATAAAGTTAACTTTATATTTAATAATTAACCATATATGACCTTAGTTTCGTTGTTCTTTAACTATTATTTTTAGTTTTTTTCGTTTTATCAGAATTTATAATACAATCTGTTTATCTATATATTAATTTGAAACTGTTTTTCTTTGTCACAGCTATTTTGATAGAACGGCTGGGCGTAGAAACTCGGTAGAGGTGTCTAAAGAAAGGTCTTGGTCTGTAGATGAGCCATCAAAAGAGAAACATGGTGAATTCCCTTGGGGCTCTGCCCCCGTGGCCTTTAAATTCCCATCCCATGTTATTCTTATGGAGGAAAACGGGGTTTTTATCACAGCTAATTTGAGAGAACGGCTGGGCATAGAAACCTGGTAGGGGTCTCTAAAGAAAGGTCTTGGTCTTTAGATGAGCCATCAAAAGAGAAAAGAGATATCCCTTGGGGCTCTACCCCAGAAGCCTTTAAAGTTGCCTCTTCAGATTTGTTTACATTACGACCATATGCATAATTCTACACTACTTTTTATTGCAACAGCTGTTAATATTTAAATTGTGATTTATTGAATTTGTCAAAATGAAGTGCAGTATTTGCAATGGATTTTTCTGATTTTAAAATTGATTTTCTTCTGCATCGTGTCATGTTTTGCAATATAATGTTCTATTACCAAATCAGTAGAAAATCCTAATATCACAGTAATTTTAAAATTATTTCTTAAGGAGTTACCTAACTTAAACTTATATCTATTGTATGGGTTGGTTTCTGCCTTTTTTTACCACTTCTTGGAGATTGTACGTAGGTATTCTTTGGCATATTGCATCTGTAGACGAAACTTGAGTTCGTGTAATTATTACAATGGAAAAGAGCGAGAAATCTTGGACAATTTGATATAGGCTAAAAATAAAACTGAATTAACACTGTGCTACATTTCTTGAGCAATCATTTAAATAGGTAACCGATTTGCAAACAATGGAAACATAGAAAAAGTCATAGAACACAACCAAGTAAAAAAAAATAGAAATAATGTTTTTTTTTACACTAAAAACACTAAAAAAACAAGATCAACTTTTTGAAAAAATATATCTTTTTATTTATTCAAATTTTATTATTATTATTCAAATTATTATTTATATAAACCCTTTATTCAAAGCTCTTCCCTTTTCTTCTACAATCTGTGATGTGAGAGAACATTTTTTTCTGATACAAGGCGCCAAATTTCACCACCTGACCTTGTGAAGTGTGAAGTGTTTTGTAGTGTGATTAACAACATAACCTAACAACCTTTACTACTTCACTAGTTCACTTCCCTTCCCCAATTTGTTTTGTTGTTGGTTGTCGTCAATACATCAATTTCACATTTTCATTAGCATTAACAATCTTCGTTCTTTGACAGTATTTTACCAGATTAGGCTATTTCACTTAAATTGTAGCCTAATGACGAATGACGATAGAAGAAATCAATGAGTGTTGAGTGTTGAAGAAGGAGTAGTATTGAGTGTGATAGCAGTTGTTACATTTGCAGGAATTTACAATTTAAAGTCCACATGACATGGATATTATAATTATCTTAGCCTAATTTGTTTCTTATTTCGAAAAATAACTTACCCAAAATGTCAAAAGTAAGTATGCTGATTATATTTTTACAGGCAGACAGTAGGCCTATTTGACACAACTCTGTAAGGCCCCGGCCACACGGGGCGGATGAACCGCTTCCTGTTGGGTTTTCCCAGTATCAGTACTCTATTAAAACATAAGTTAGTTCAGTTCACTCTTTTTAGTCATGGGCGAAACACTTAGGCCTATGTTAGTTTGTGCATTAAAAGCGTGTGGTGAACTGGAACGTTAACATAAATCATTAGGTCCATCCCTTCATAACGGAAAAACAATTTTTTGTGTTCCAAACCTTTTACGAGCACATGCGAAACCATAGTTCGGAGTTCATATGTATCAAACATTGTTTGAACACCACACAACCGGTAAAAAATACATAAAACAAACTCAAAAACCACTGGAAATGTCCAAAGAATATCTCCAATAAGCGCGGCTGCCGCGCGGTCGAACCGTATCGTGTGGCCACTCTCATAAGACTACGTGTGTCATCCCCTCCAACGTGGCTTAACTTCGCGCGGTCGGGGGACGACATGTTGTGGCTCGACCGCACATGCGGCTAAACTTCGCCTCGTGTGGCCACTCTCATTTGATTCAATGTGTTGTCGAAGCCCTTAACTTCGCGCGGTTAAACCGCATCGTGTGGCCGGGGCCTTAGCGTTCAGCTAGCCTAGGCCTAGGGTAGCTGTTAATTCATGATACTAATTCTTGAAAAAATTCAAGTTAAAGTTCAACAACTGGGGTAGGGCCTGGGTACAGTTTCTTAACTGGGCTATGCTAATATCGATTTATACTATCGATTCGATTAGTAAACCTAGGGTTGCCATCCCCGGATTTCCCCGGAGATTACCTGATTTTGACGTTCAAACTTTAGCTCCGGGGGATTTCTGCAAAAAGTGAGAAATCTCTTTTTTACTCTCTATTAAATACATTGTATAACGGAACTTTTGGAATAAATTAAATGTTTGTGTTCGCAAATATTGTTATGCGATGACTGAAAAATGTAACTCTTGTACTCTCAATTAAATTGTATTTCATTACTTAGTTTTACTTTGCCCAGTAATGTCCTTAGTTAATCATCTGTTTCATTGCTCCCATTCCTTCAAATTGCGTCTGCTGGCCAGTCCGAAGTTATCCATGTTCTGTTCACTACCAGTGCCAAACCGAGTCTAGCAGACAGAGAGTGTTTTGTTTACGTTATTCGTTATTTTTAGTAAGATGTGAAAAGCTAGATGCAAATTTTATGCTGTCCTCGCGTACCATATTTGAATATTTTGATATTGTAGCACGAATATTGAACAGAAACGGTATGGATTAGTAAACATAAACAAATTACATCACTGGCCCGAATGTCAATAGGTCTACTAATAGCTGTAACAACTGGTTGGCGTAGCCTAGTTAAGAAACTGTAACTTAAACTTACATAACAACTGTACCATATTTGCTTATAATGGCTGCACTTTACTTAACGTTCTACACTCGTTCGAATGAAAAATATCGATATATCGATCGATATGTTTATTCGAATGAGTATAGGACGTAAAGTAAAGTGCAGCCTCTTATACATATAAATGAATTTGTTCTACAGTAGGCCTATATTGTCTGTTGGGGCCTGGACTAGCCTATATTTGGTTGAGATAGCTTATTCAGTTTATGAATGACAAACCTAATGGCTAAATGCCATTTTTAGGAAATTTACCGTCTCTAAACTTAGTAAAAACTTATGTTTACTTCATTGTAGCTGTTAGCCTCCGGATTGCCAAATAATATCAAAATACCCCCGCAAACATGCAGACTAAGCAAATTTCCATTTGCCTCATTGGATTTACACTAAAAAATATATCCTTAAAAATATCACATTTATTCCCTATTTAAATAGGTAGCATTAGTTTAAAGAGTAGAGTACCTAGGTTTGCTGAAACAGTGGAGGGTAAAAAAGTGTTTTTTTTTTTTTTTAATGCTTAGTTTAGTATGAAATAAATGTTTTTCCAAATTCGGTAAAAATTTGTTCATAAATAAGAAAACTACAACAGTTTATTTTTAAAACTTATTCTCCACAAGAATAAGATGGAAATTTTAAATTTACAATTTTTGTAATTTTCTCCGTAACTATTAGGTGCATAACAACGCTTAAAGATAATAAATTATTTGTTTTTTTTAGCTCTACAAGATGGTTTGGAAAGAAATTGCAAAATTGTATGTTTTTAGTGTCAAAAATGGGAAAACCAATATTTACCCCATAAAACCCCCCATACACCACCGTTTCCATAGTCCAATCATGCTGGTTTGCAAACTCTTTTGAGTACCTAAATGTAGGTTTACACGTTTGTACCAAGTTTCATCAAATTCGGATAGTTTCTGCTTGAGTTATCATGCTAACAGACACTTGTATATATGAATTAGAACAGATGGTTTTTGTTCTCTAGCGTCCTCAAAACGAAAATTAAATCGGTCCCGGGTCCAGGTCTTACTATGAGTACTACGGTAATAGCTTATTCCCTATAAGTTATGGGAAATTTGCTAAAAGGTTTAAATAGGCCTACCTGCTATTTAGCAGTCCATCAAATTGCAGTCTCAACTAGGCTAAGTGTTTCGACTCCTAGGCCACAGGTACAGTACAAGGCCAATCATCAGGCAGTACAAAGACTTCTTCTTTCTTAACATGAAGAGCGTTATATTTAACAAATGAAAATATAAATTTACACACGACACATACACGGATACGCAACATTTACGGATGCCTAACTGATCAGTTATGTCAACAGACTTAGGCATGAGCATCGATGGTAACATCGACGTCAACCATCGATGTAGGTACCGATCATCGTTGCGAAAACATCAATGTTTTTGGGACTAAAACATTGATGGTTTTCGATGTTATTTCAGTTTTTCGCCTGCTTTTATACTTTCCAATAATGGAAAACATTGGTATCTCAATACTTAGCCAAAAACATTGATGTTTGACAAAAATATTGATGTAACAAAAACATTGGTAACCTACCATCGATGTAAAAAACATTGAACATAGAAAAACATCGATGTTTCGAAAACACCTACTATCGATGTTCAACAGACGACGCTAACCCAGCGTAGTTTAACCATGCATCCGGCAACCGACTATTGACTAGTCATTTGAGCATCCATTTTTTTAAACTGCTAACGTTTCAACAGAAAACATCACTGTATTAAGTTAGATATTGCTTTAGGCTATATCATTTTACACATAGGAGATTCCAACATTTATTTTGATATACCGGTATTGTTTGTTTGGTTACTGTTAAATGATTTCGAAAGCCGAGAATAAAAATGTAGAATGATGCAACTGCGTGTTTCGCGCGGTGTGACGTAATATTCATGCATATTTTACATACAAATGAGGCCTAATAATAAATATTACTTTTTCATGTAAAGAACCATTTTCTAAAAGTATTGTATCAATCTATATACCTATCTTGCATTTCCAATTAAAAAACCTTACGTATTTTGCCCAAGTCTATGTTAGTTTGGACAAATTTTACAGGCCCATTTTCTTTTATTTTGTTCTTACAAGTATTATAGTTTTACAAAATTTTTTTGGGATATATTGGTTTGAATTTCCTCCTTGTAATGTCCTGAAAAATAAAATATTTAATAGTATATACTTTTGTATGGTAGAACACAATTTATACAGCTCTAATGTAGGTAACCTAACTTATGTACGTACAGTAAAAAATACCACGTTTTCAAACACACTAAAAAGTATAAAATAATTTATAAATATGTGGAGAGAATAAATACTTAAATACTTAGAATAAATACAAAAAAGTGGGGCGCATGCAATAGCTAATTTACGATTTTCTTCGCCTATTGAACTATTAGCTATATATCTGGCCAGAGGGTAAAATTCCGGGGGTAAAAATCCGGCCCGTACACTCTAGGTTTTTATAATTTGATGTGTTCTGATTATATTCACAACCTTGAAAATATACGTTTAATTCCGCGTCTAATCCATCGAACTGATGTCGCGAAACTCAAAAGTTTTCGGCCGGAATTTTACGCCCTTGTTTGTGACGTCACGTTTGCCAAGGGGGTAAAATTCCAGGGGGATAAAAATCCGCTACCCCATTTCGTCCACTGCCAGAAAAAAAGGAAAAATCGATTACCGGGTAACTTACAGGAATACAACCAGTAAATATAACTTAAAATCAACTTTTGTCCTTTAAGAGCAGCCCTGGTTCTAAGAGTAGAATATGTCCCCCCAGCCACTTGTTAATGGAGGATTTGAGTCTGTGCTCTTGTCAATTTGTGCAAAGCAGTTTAGTCTTCTCATGACTGCTAAATGAGGAGGAAGATGGAATGGAACTAAATGTTATATGTCATGGAAATAAATATGCTAAATGGAATGGAAGGTCTCTTTTGTCTTTTTTCTCTCTGATTTACGATCCTTAGTAAACTTTCAGAGATAATACTTAAATGAAGAATTGTTAACGGATATTGCTTTGCTCCATTTATGAATAATCAAAGTTGATCTAAGAAAAAACTGAGTACCGTAAGCTATCTATAGAAATAACTTAATGCTCATTCTTTTATCTATCAAACTTAATTGAATGACTCATAAAATGTTTAAGATAATTGGGCCGAACTTGATAAATCTTCAGTACGTACCTTACCTAGCAATAATAAAAACTTTAAATTATTTTTTTAGGATATACGCTCATTTTTTACGGTGAAGAACTCAAAAACTAGTCTTAAAAATAATGACCAATCAATAAAGTCCAATCACAAGACTGGACAAAAGAAGCGGCCCATCATAATTGATTCAGATGAAGATGAAAAAAGTCCAGTCAAGAATAAACGCAGCAAACCACTAGTTGAAGGTAAGATTTTTAGCAGGAAATAGTTATTTGTGCAACTAGTGAGAAAAGTGAGCAATTGACTCACTCGAGAGAAATCCTTACTCACGAGTCGTAGGCGAGTGAGGAATGGTTTCTCGAGTGAGGCAATTGTACTTTGAACTCGAGTTGCACATTATACTTTTCCTACAGTTACCATAAAACAAATAAATTTGTGAAGAAACATAACCTATTTTTTACACAGAAGTGAACTTTAACATAACATTTAATGCGAAGTGACAAATACAACAGTACAACAGCTGACCAGCTGATTTACAGCCAGTGCTGCCAACGTATTTCGCGCGCATACGACGTTGACTGCATGTTACGCGCTCACTATTTCGTGCCTTCACGATGCAAATCTGGAGTGAGGCAAAGTTTAATTAGAGTGAGACAATGTTAACATTGTCTCACTGATGAGCGAATTGGCCACTTTGCTTTCTCAAATCAGTGAGAGAACATGTACATTGTTAGGTAACTGTAGGAAAAATGTATTGTCACCCTAAAGCTATTCTCATGTATAGCTAAACATATGCCTAAACATATGCACAACATATGCCTAAATGCTGTTCCGCTTCATAAGTTTTAGTTTGATGGTTCAAAACCAGAACCAGGTCCCCTTGATCATTAGGTTTTTTGTGGCAGTAAATGATTCTGGTTAAAGGAACATATAATTTTAGTTAGTAACCAAGCTATACAGATAATTTATTTCATTTTACAGTCACTTTGCATCGATATTCGGCTTAAAGAATGAATTTATATTATAAATTGTACATTGCTGTCTATGAATTGATTGAATGAGTGATTAAACCTGTCGTTAGTTTCATTTGTCAACTATTTTTATTTTAAAAATGATTTTGGTTTGTAGGTATAAAGTTTCACAATTATTTATCTTTGTAGTACAATATCAATGTGTAGAAAACTTCAACCTACTTATATTTCAACTTTGAATGAAGCTTTGGATTAAAGGCTGGAGCGCATAGCATAAAGTGGTATTGTCGAATCTGTGTATAATACACTATGGTACTAATTTTTATTACTAGGCCTAATTTAAGTTAATTTTACTATTATTTGACTGATTTACAAGGTTTCTGCAAATGTAACTGATCTTGGGGTTTTCATTTATTCATAGCAGTTTTATATTACCCACCTGATAATTAATCTTACTTATTGAACGTATTTAGAAACTAAATCATACGTAAAATTTATTGTTGCAGATAAGAAACAAAATAATCAGAAGAAACAAGAAGTTCCTGCCACTAAATCTAAGTATTTTGAGTGTCAACATGATTTCAAGGATCTTTTTGGTAGTGCTCCGGTAAAAAGAGATAATTCAAGAAAAATAATCAAGGTAAAACTTGTAGATTGTACGGTATATAAATGTAAAGATTGTATCAGTATTTCATGATGTGTGGGAGAGATGAAGGAAAGGCTCCCAACAACACTGAGAATTACACCACTGAACTATTTTAATGAATCCTACAGAGATTAATTGTTTTGATGTCTGTACCAAGCAACAATGACGGGTACAGGGTTCTTATGCATTCCACTTGCTACTTTAATTGAACTGATCTATAAGTTTAACCCTAGCGCTGGCAAACGCCGGATATACGGCGCGAACGGCCGCGGCTGAAATGGCGACGGCGCCAATGCCGGTGTTACGGTAGGCCTATAAGTAATTTTTTTTTTTTTTTTTTTTTAGTTTTGTTAACTTTTTTGGGCTACTGTTGTAATAAATAAGTAAAATAATACAAACCAGAGTACCCTGGAATTATATATTATATAAGGTGTACGGTTTTGAATATGACCTGGGTTGGATGATTATTTGGTACTAGCGCGGGGGTACGATCGACATAGTAATAGGGCTATCAAACAAAATACACAAAATAAGCTAAATAAACTATATATTTTTGGAATCAGCACAAAATTTACCACAACTTTACTATTTACCTTATGATGCTAAGTCTTACATGCACTTAGCTATACGACGGAATATAAAAACATTTTATAAAAAAATTAATAATAGGCCTACCCACAATTTGGAAAAACTACAAAATTTTTTTTTTGTGGTAACCATGTAAATCACCTATATTATTGTTCTTTGTCTTATTCTGAACAAAATGATATATAACAATACATAGTTATGTTGCTATTTCTAATTTTTATGATGGTTTAAAAATGATATTACATAATCAATAATATCCCCATGCCAGTACAGCGTTACACTATTGCCAGCTCTAGGGTTAATAGAAGATATTTTTGACAATGTGGCTAGAACTACATGTTGTTCCCATGTAAAAAATATTTAAATGAAAGAAAATATGTTTTTCAATTTGTTGCTAGTTTTAACACAAAATTATAAGTAATTGATTGAATTCCAAAAGCGACCAACAGCACTGATTTAATTTGCTGATTTTGGTTGAATACGCTGACTTAACCAAACCAACTTGAAAAGACTACTAGCCTATTATTGTAAACTAGTTAAAGCATATTTTTATGTCACTTTGTATAATACCATTAAAATAAACTAAGGAAAAATATAATTTTTGGCTGCAGCACCCTTTATGAGTGGCTAATTCAACTTTGACATTATTTAATACAAATTTGCTACAGCTGGTCTGTACGTATGAGATATATACTTTTTTGCCTGTCCAAATGACATCGATTTTATCCAGCATCCCCAAAGTCCCCGAGGAGACGAAATATTGTGTGTTCAGTGTTTCTTATGTTATTCTATGGCCTACACCTACTCTTCTTCAAGATAATTGGGAGTAAAGCTATCCATGCTGTCAATTATAGCTTGAAAACCATTAATTTTCTTTGATAGCAGGTTACTTAATTGTATTTAGAGATTAAATATATAAGACCTACTAAAGTATTTGAACTAGTGTTATTTGATACTTTCATATTTTTAGAGGGTTATTACTAAAGAGCCTCAAGAATTCCACATTGATGAAGACTTTGAAGCAGAGTTAGCCAAGTTGGATGATATCTGGAGTGAAGAAATTTGTAAAGAAGGAGATAAGAAAGTTGATGCAAAACAACAACATGTAAACACATTTAACGAGTCTCCAAAGAAAAGGGATGTAGTGGAGGTAAGCAGTAGAAGTGTAAGTTTATTTTGTAGTGATGGTAGTTTTGATTCATCTTGTTTGAGGCTATTGGCATGAATTACTTAGGACCAAAGAATTAAGATTTTGAATGTTTTAGTTCAATTCACTTGTCAAATTTTCTGATTGTCTTTTATTCATTAAAAAAATCTTGTCTTCAAATTCAAAAACTCTTGACATTCATGTGCAAATTACGATGGTGTTAAAACCAAGGGGAGTTCACTAACTTTTTAATTTATGGACGTGTCTATTCTATTTGTTATCTCAGCAATAGACACTAATTTATTGTCAATCATTGCTGAAATGCTGAATTTTTTAAGGCAAGATTTTGGCCATTCAAAGTTTTTATAAAATGTAAGGTAAGATAAGAACAGTGCTTTATTTTACAAGTTAGTTTACAATCTTACAATTTGTATCCATACGGACAAAAGACCATGGTCGTCTGACCGTCTGTCAGGTTGGCAAAGTTCACTTCCACTAATTTACAACACTGCACTTGTACAACACATAAAGAACATAATAGTTCAAACTTACTAAAAAAACTAATATCTGATTAAGTACTTAGGCCTATATCATTAATTTTTTCTACTTCAGAGAATTTTTTAAGCTATTGCCTAAGCTGGCCTGTTATAAAATGTATTTTAAGTCAATAATTATAACTGAGAGAGGATTTTGTTTAGTTTTATGTTTTTACTAGCAGAGTACCCATCCTTTGTATGGGTTTGGCGTATAAGTATAAAATGCTTATTGCAGTTATACTTGGCTTTGCGTTTCTACCATAGCCATAATGTTCTACCACTGCACGTAAACAATAGAAAAAATAAAGTTCTCATTGTATATCACAGCTTTTTTTTCAAATTAGCTGTTGTCATAAATGAAAAAAAATAGCCCTGCACGCTGTTTGTAAACTGTATACTTTTTTTATGCTATTTAATGATAGAACCAACTTGTGTAGTTGAAACAGCTGACAAAGTTAAGAATGTGTCTATATGTTGTTAATCGGGAATGTGAGCTATTACCATACCATATTTCAGCCCAATCCGACCAGTAGTTAGTGCGTGATTGAACTTCAAACACACACACTTATAATCACATTTATAATATAAGTAAGATAACTAACTGATCAATAAAAAAAAATCATTACTTCCACCATCCAATGTCTTAGCATCATACTAATCACTAAATATCGTTAACACTTTTTATTTTCCTAACAGACACAAAATGGCATCATAAAATCTCCTCGTAAAAGAAAAGCAGCCATAGACCATTATCTATCACCTGAGAAAAAAATTAGGCCTACACCAGATGATAATAATGAATGTGTTAAAGCTACTAAGCAAGATGACCATAAAAAAGAATCTCCGATAAAGAATTTGATGTCCAAATATTCATCACCTACAAAGAGTCCTACTAGAAAGTCACCACGTAAAGAAAAGACACCAGATAAATCGCCATACAAAAAACTGTCCATTACCAAAATCGGAAGCGAAACAGCAAAAGATGAAAAGTCAACTAAAATAGGCCTATTGAACTTAAAGAACTCAAATGCCAAACAAGACACGACACAATCTGAAATACCAAGTATATCACAGAATAAATTATCACCTAAGACGAATGATTATGTAAAATTAGGTGAGAAAATTGAACAGAAAAATATTTCTAGAAAAGAGACAGTTGATAGAACGGATAACGAAAGCATAGGTTCGAGTGTTAAGGTTGAAGCAACGTCAACTTTATCATCAGGTCCAAGTAATTTGTGGGTCGAAAGATACAAACCTACTGCGACAAAACAGATAATAGGTCAACATGGGGAGAAAAGTTGTGTCAATAAATTGATCCATTGGTTGAACAACTGGGAAAAGAACCAATCAGGAACCAAGAAACTCGTCAAGCCAAGTAAGTATTAAGTATTGACCAGCCCAAAGAATGTAGTATGATGTAGTATTTAGTACAGTAGACTCCCTCTTATCCGGACACCTTTTAACCGGACTACACTCGGCGGAAATTACATCTCTTTTTCATCTCACCGGACAATTTTTATCAGCACATCGGTTTAACTGGACTAGATAGGTAGGACAGGGGCTGTACTGAAACGACTGTTCTCGTGGGAAAGATTTGAGACCAGTGATTACGTGTCTAAATACAATGCTCTCCTAAATTGAAGTCAAATATTTGGATTACATAACGAGTTTTTGGAGACGTCGGTTTAACCGGAAAAACCGTTATCCGGACTGGCCTTGGTCCCGAGTAGTCCGGATAAGAGAGAGTCTACTGTATGTTTAAAATAGTTAAAACTTTAAATGAGATAACTAAACCATGCTGAGATTCTACTCTCACCGTTTGCCATTTCAGAATTATTGGTATAGTTCGGCCGCTTAGAAAGCGACCTCCTCCAGCATTGGTTTAGCATTAGCGTGCAGGTCGTTTTCTAAGCGGCCGAACTATAGTACTATCGATTCTCCAACATGTAGTAGTAAAACATGTCTCACTCTGCTTACACTAACAAAACTTCTCATCATTTGCTATGTCAAAAAAAAATTATAAAACAGTTGAAGCAATATTTCCATGTAAAGAACTAATACTTGAATAAAAACACCTTCGCAAAGTTTTTTAAAAATTTTTAATTTTTAAATTTTTTTTAAAAATCTTGTCTCAAAAAAATCTCTACCAAAATATAATCTTGTCCCGTAGAACGAGATTTAAAATTTCCCAAAATTTAGAGATCCCTCCATCCCCACTGCATAGTTAATATTCAAATGAGAGATACTTTGCAAAACCTCATTAACTCATTGTCAATTGTTGTTGTTACCAGGTCCATGGGCCAAGAATGATGATGGAGCGTTCTTCAAAGCTGCCTTGCTCTCCGGACCACCTGGTGTTGGTAATGTTTTTTTTTCTTTTACCTGCATGACTGTACTTATCACTATCATATTGATTTAAATTATTTATTTAAGAATATAGGCCTATTACTTCATTTGGGCTAGGCCTACCCCTAGAACCAGCCACACTCAAATTTCTTCCCCAGAGTGCTCAGAAGGAGCCGAGAAAAAACCAGGGGTCAATACGCAGTTCATGTTTTTGACTAATCAATTTATGAAATTTAATTGAAGGCTCAGAGTTCTAGAAGCGCTCAGGAACCCCTGCAGACGCTCAGTTGGAGCTGTAAAACACCCACCTTCGTTTAAGTGTTTTAGGAAAACGTTGCTTAACTTTTAGACATACTCTGTAGGGCAGACGAGTATTCTATCTTATCCAATGCGTTACAACTACTCGTATTAAACTCCTAAGTTATTTGGGGAAAGACGTTGGTAAGGAATGTACAAATGGTAATTTACTAATCAGAATATAATATAAAAAATTCCTACAGAGCATACGGAGCCTAATTAATATATCTCTATGAAGAATTAAGCGTGATACGGATAAAATAAATTTAATACTATTATTCGTAATTAATTGTTTAAATCTGAACACTCCCAAGGCTTGATTCTATCACCCGCAAATAACGGGGTTCAGAACTCAGACGATAAACCTCGGGGTATTAAAAAGACGAATTAACTAAAATAAATAAGCGCAATAATTATTGGTTAAGCGAACGGGGTAATAGTAATTTTGTACCTAATTGATTAAAATCAAACTGAACGATAGCCACCGCTAGTCACGGTAGTTGGGAACTGGTGGGTCTAGAACAAGCCTGAAATCTATGTTGTAAAATTTAAATATTTAAAATTGAATTTTGGAACAAAAATACGTGGATTAAGGGAAAAATGATCGTAAAACGTGAAAGTAAGATTAACTAATATAGCTAAGCTTCCGATGACCGGCAAGTAGATCGTAGACGTATCGTTAGTACTCAAAAGCGTAAGACGTAGTTAACTTTTCAGTATTCGACGAAAGAATGTTCCGTCTTGGAATTAAAATCCCTTATTCCAGTCCGGTTGAGGCCTACACGCTCTAGCGACAAACTTAGGTACTACTAGACAACAGCTGATCAAAATTTCACTTGTTGAGCCAGTCTAGTTTTCTTCTGTCTTCTGTGAACTAAGACCAGTTGTCGGCGTTAACTATTGGTAAAATCTTTTGGTTTGACTTTACTTGATGATTTGGAGTGCTATTATCAATAACAATGTCGTGTGATTGTGTGTTTATACTTCACTATGAATAAAACTAGGCCTATGTTCTTTGGCCCATAGCCGCAAACTATGGCCAACATCTTGACCTAAGAGTAGCCTGTTGTGGCTGAAAACTGGTAAGTTGTGGTGTTTGTTTTGATCCCCCTTAAAATTTAGTACCTTACACCCGTCCGTGACTAAGCTTCAGAAACAATCCTTAAACATATAGCAAAGGCCTTAGGTGCAACTATTATGTCAGGACTGGTGTTAAAGAGGTTACACAGATTAAATAAAATTCTTTAAGTTCTAAAACTTTTCTGGTAATTTAGGTCCTGTGAAAGTTTAAAATTATATTTTTTCTATTTACCAACAATTGTTCTATCATCATCTTTATTTTCAGGCAAAACCACATCAGCCCATCTTGTCTGCAAAGAGCTTGGATTCGACATTGTGGAGTTCAACGCATCCGATACAAGATCAAAGAGGTTGCTGCATGAAGAGGTCTCAGAGTTGTTGTCCACAAAATCACTCTCACCGTTTTTCACTGGTGAGAACTTAGATACTCAACCTGATCCGGGGTTCTTGCTGGAGTTGTGGATTGTTCAGTTACCCATAGCTAAGGTTTTTACCAGAGTTCTAAAAATTTTTATTTTGAAATTTATCCACGAGACAGTAAATATCATTTGCCTTTTTTTGTTATCTTTTTATCTTCAATTCATCTATTCTAACCTTTTCACCTCTTCATGGCCTTACTTAAAGGTGTCTGTAGAATACACTAGAGTCTCCATAATTCAACGTTCCGTGTCATGGCTGTCCCTGTCTATATTCATATTCAGAAGTCAGAAGATAAGCACCGAGCTTTACTCTGCAGGTACCAGCACACTTTCTGATTTGTTAAGCACATCATACCATACTCCTCCCTCATACATGTATACCTCGCTACCACTGGCCTCTCTGTGCAAAATGGGGTTTTTACTTGGTTGATTATTTATGTGATTTGTGATTAAAACTTTCAAAATTTATTATTTTCAGTGAAAGAAAGACTTTATCCTAGATACTAGAGGTCGTCCAGTGGTTGAAAAAAACTCGACCAAAGATATGTAATGTACAGACTTCTGTATGGTGAGTTGGTGGCTCAATCGGTAGCGTCGCGGACTTCGGGCCCAAGGCAGTAGTGTCGTGGGTTCAGATCCTGGTCACTGCCACTAACTTTTATCAGTACAGTTCACCTTTGTACTGTACCGGCTCACCCCTTGCTTTGCTGGATACGTTCCACGCACAGATCTGTAGTCTATGTGGACGGGCAAATGCAAGGTTAAAAGAGGCCGCCAACCTCTTAAAGGAATGAAGGAATGTATATCCCCCCCCGGTAAATAAAACATGTGATTGGAATTTCTTCCTTTTGTTTTGATTTTCTGTTTGTATTTCGTTGTTATTTCGTCACCAACCATTTTTTTATGAACCTATTTTAATTTGTAAAAGGATTCAGCACGTCTTCAGGAAAATATCTTTCTAACAGTTAGCGCAGATTTTCTCTACGATGCACGTACGAGCTGTTAAAAAAGGTTTTAAAGAAACATGCTTGCCTATTATTATTTAGATGACAATGTAGAAACTTAAATAATTTACAATTTTCAACTTATTTAACAATGTTTGCTATTTATTTTGGCCGCAGTAAGTGTAGTTTGAATAATCAACTTTACTGTACTTTAACAACAAAAGCAGCGACTAAGCTGTGTTGCTGGTGCCTGATCAATCACTTCCAACATCTGAAATTGCAGGCAAGGGAGACCAGGTGACCAAGAAGCATGTGTTGTTGATGGATGAAGTTGATGGCATGGCAGGTAACGAGGACCGAGGGGGAGTCCAAGAGCTTATATCTTTGATAAAGCAATCTCGAGTTCCAGTCATCTGCATGTGTAATGACCGCAACCACCCGAAGATCCGCAGCCTCTCCAACTATTGTTTCGACCTTCGATTCATCAAGCCTCGTGTGGAACAGATCAGGGTATACTTCCTATTTGTCAACCTAAAGACTAGACTTGTTGTATACTATACTTACATATTTTTTTGTCTCAGAAGTTTAGTTGTTTTCATTAGTAAATTTAAACTATAAGATATAGTGTTTGTTGTGTTGAAATATTAAAATGAATTGCTATTTGTGTAACTAGTGAGCAAAGTGGCACATTGCTGCACACGAGCAACGTTTACGCACAAGCCGCAGACGAGTACGACAAAGTATAAATATGCAGCAATTAGCAGCTTTCTGTACTATAAACAGTACAAGGAAGCCAACTTTGTCGGGTGACTGTAGGAAAAACAAATTATTTAATATTCTGTAGGTAATTCCAACTATCAAATACAAAGAAATTGGCTCTTTTAAATTAGTTGGAAAATATTAAATTTAGTGTAATACAGTAGACTCTTACTTATCTGGAGTCCTTTTATCCGTACATCGGTTTAACCGGACTACATTTGGCAGAAGTGACATCTCTTTAAACGGACAATTTTTATCAGCACATTGGTTTAACTGGGCTTTATCGGTAGGAAGTGGGTGTTACTAAAACTACTTTTCTTGTGGGATATATTTGAGACATTTGATCACTTTTCTAAATACAATGCTCTCCCAAGTTTAAGTAAAATATTTGGGTTAGTTTTGAGTGATTCGCGTGGGGTGTGGTTTGCTGGTTTATTCGGAAAACCTGTTATCCGAACTGGCCTTGGTCCTGAGGAGTCCGGATAAGAGAGAGAGTGTACTGTACCTACCGCCAAAGATGAAATGTACAGAGATACAGATACTAAGAAAAGAAATAAAACATGTTTTACATCTCAGATAGGCTAAACAAATGTCTATGTCTTACGTGGGATAACATAACCAAAAACTTAAGAAAATTTAAAGAGTGATGTCAGCTTTTTAGATTAAGTAACACAATCCTTACTTTTTAGTTTCTTGTCTCCTCATTCCAGCTAGTTTACTGTTAAATTCCAGCATAGCTAGTCATATTTCACTCTTAAAAATCAAGACAGTAAATTCAACTGAAAATTTTAGTTGATTTGTTTCTAGTTACATTTATTCATATTATATTTATTTTACAATTAAAATTTGTGCAGGCCTACAGATTTAATTGTTCTTTTAGGGAGCCATGATGTCTGTATGTTTTAAAGAAAAGTTGAAAATAAAACCTGAAGAACTGACAGATATAATCACGAGTGCAAACCAAGACATTCGCTTGATCATGAATCATCTGTCTATGTTATCAGTGCAGAAGACAAGTATGGCAAACAGCTCGAAGCACATCAAGCTGGTAAGCACTTGCAGATAATATATCGTCTATTGTTCAAATTATTATCAATGTTCTCTTAGAGTTGATTTTGATTAATCTGACTGTTGTTCTGGTGGAGAGATTCTAAGCCACACAGGAGAACGTTGTTCAACAAATCAGCAGCAGAGTAAATAATGATAAAGCAGTTGTACTGAGAACTTGTGTGTTTGCTCCCTCTGAGGATCCAACAAAATGATTCAAAAATTCCCCCTGTTTATTGTAACTACATTTTCTGTAAGGAACTTTTATAAAAGAGGGCTCGATCTAGGGTCAGATATTTTGGATTGGAACAGTGCTTGATCAGGGTGTCCACCAACCGGGAGAACCGGGAATTATGCATGAATTTTGTATTTAACCGGGAATTTTTTGCCGCGATCGCGCATGACGACGATGGCGTTTCCGTGACCGCGGGAGACGACGATGACGTTCCTGTGACCGCGGGAGACGACGATGACGTTACCGTGACCGCGGGAAACGACGATGGTGTTTCCGTGACCATGGGAGACAATGGTGATATTTCCGTGACCGCGGGAGACGACGATAACGTTTTTGTGACCGCGGGAGATGACGATGACGTTCCCGTGACCGCTGGAGACGACGATGATGTTCCCGTGACCGCGGGAGACGACGATGACGTTTTCGTGACCGCGTGTGACGACGATGACGTTTCCGTGACTTTGTTAGACGACGATGACGTTTCCGTGACCGCGGGAAACGATGATGACGTTTTTGTGACCGCGAGAGACGACTGTGATGTTCCCGTGACCGCGGGAGACGACGATGACATTTTCGTGACCGCGGGAGACGATTATAATGATTCCATTACTGCTAACAATATCAGGATTTTTTCACGACCACGGAAGACAGTGGTGATGTTTCTGTTACTGAGTGAGATATTCAGGATTTTTCGCAGAAAACGATGATGATGTCTCTGGACTGTGTTAGATGATTACAATATAACCTCGAGTTTGGCTTGACCAAAAATTAAAAAATGGCACACTTCTAGAAAGTTTCTTTATACTTTTTTTTGTAATATCTTCATTTACCTTTAACGTGGTATTTATTTAATGTGTTTAGAAGGGATTAAAACATAAATTGGCTACGTGCAATTTTCGTAATTTCTGCATTATTATCTCTGTAGGTCACTTGGAAAACAACCCATTCATTACTCCAAAATTATACTATATGAAAGTACATAAAGCCAGGGGTTGGTGTAGTAATCCTTCAGAAAATTTGGTAAAATTGAAATTATCAGTATTAAGAATCTATTTTTCAGGTACAGAGATTCGATAAATTTTGGTATCGACATATCACTATTTTTAGGAAGTTATTAATAAATTGCCGGTTTAAGGATTAGTTTTTAATTTTTGGATTATTTAATCCGTAATATATAAAAATTGAATACTTGTGTCAGGCAATATTACAGCAATCATATTTTTTTTTTCCTTAACTGAGAATGCTCTTTCCGATAACTAAAATAGTGAGCTGTGTTAGCGCTAAAACAGCATTGCGAGAGTTGGCGCAAACACGTTGGAAATTTTAGTATGAAAAGTACGACCTGAACTACCTGGAATTTTTTTTTACTCATGAATTACTCATGATTTTTTTCTGGTTGGCCTGGTGGACACCCTGTTGATCCACAGTTACTTCAACGTCCACTTGTCAAAATTAAAATTTCAGGGTAGTCACTTCACTCCAACTGTAAAGGCTTATATGTAGCTTGAGAGTAGAAAAGTGTCTATACCAAAATTTGTTGATTTTCGATACCAATACCCCGATACCTGAAAAATCCATTCTCAATTCTCAATTATGATTCAATTTGTTTATAATCTTACCAAATTTTTGATATGGATTGCTTGTACTGCCCCAACTCCTGTCTTTATGTTCTTAGACTAAGTAATTTTGAGACAAAGGGGTTTTTTTAAATAAAGAAATAATTAAAGCAGCAATGATTTACCAAGTGTAACCAAACAATTCAAATTCAAACCCTTCTATTATAGCCTCCTCCAATTCAAGGCCGTGCCGAGACAAAAGTTGCTAAGCCTCAGACCCAGCACACTGAAACAGCTGTTGCACTAATTTATAATGGAGCATTCGCGCAATGTTTATGTTTACAAGTTTGTTATTCCTATTGTTAACATGGCAATAGGCATGATGGTGCGATGTTGCCTCACACCAACGCCGTGGCCTTGTATTAGCATCTGTACTCATTAAATAATTGTCATATCAAAAATAAAAGTCTTGCAAACAAATATTAAAAAAAAAATACTTAACTAGAGGTATGCTAGCCTCAGATTTTCAATCAAGCTGAGCATAAAGGTAATATCGTGATCATCTCCCGAGGTTGTAGATACATCTTCATCGTTGGTAAAAGACAAATCAACATTCTCTCTCTTGATGACGGCAAAATATTGAACATCTCCTGAAGTCAATGGATCATTAAAATCGTCTTCCATGATAGCGTTAAAATCATGAACACCTCCTGCGGTCATGGGAATATAATCAATGTCTTCCGCGTTCATGGCTATAACCTGATATCTCCTGTGGTCATGTAAACATTATCATTGTCTCCCACAATTACAGGAATATATTGGACATCTCCTGCGGTCTTAGGGACATTGTCATTGTCTTTCACAATTACAGGAATATATTGGACATCTCCTGCGGTCTTAGGGACATTGTCATTGTCTTCCAAGATTGCAGTAGAGTTCTGATCATCTCCTGAATCGGTGGTATCGAGAACTAACACATTCCTACTATTGAGATTGTGTATATAGTATCATTATTTCCAGCCATGTGTTTTCACAAAACTCATATTAATAAACAATATAAACCTACCTGCCAGAAGCTCTATCCAGGGTTACTTGTTAAGCTTTTATCAAACTAGAGGTAAGCAGATATCCAAATTTCAATTCGGTTTCAGTTCGGTTCGGATATCCGTAATCGAACTGAGCCCAAATTTGATATCCGCTAAATATTGGACATTTCCGAATAGACTGTATATAATGACGTTTGAGACTGAGGTCAAAATGTTCATAAGGTTACTTATACACTATCATTATTTTATTAGTTTACCACGACGTAATAATTTCAACACCACTCGTTCCCATCGACGTTACAGTGGTCGATGAGTCATCGTCTATGACACAAAACTAAAACATTCATATCGTCACCGTGGAAAATAACGGAACCAACAAATAAATAGATTAATGACAATCGATATACCACATACCTTAACAGTACCGCATTACAATCAATCGGGAACAAGGCAGTTAGTTTAATTAATTCACTATCGAAGACTATCAAAAAGAGTTCAGTTAACTTATAATAAATATCAATCAAAGTACACTAACGCCAAACACTAAATTTTAATCTTGTGCTTATTATTTTCTTTCTCTAGTTTTACTTATGTAATCAAACTAATGAAGAATATTTTTAGTGTTTTTGCTTTTAGTGAAAAAATGTGTATTTTCAGGGTCCATGGGATATTGTAAAGAAGATATTCTCAGAGCAAGATCATCAAGCAATGTCAATCCACGACAAATGTGACTTGTTCTTCCATGATTACAATATCACACCTCTATTTGTGCAAGAAAATTACTTGAACGCTGTCCCACACAAACCTGAAGGGTATGTCAGATTTGATTAATTTCTTATGATAGTTCATTCAATAAAATCCTACAGGCTATTTTTTCCAAAATGTCCTCTAAAGACTTTTTCTTTTAGTTTTTGCTAACTTGTTTTAACATTTTTGTTAACCCTGGATACTTTGAGAGTTCAAAGATTCCATGGATATTGTAATTTATCAAGAGTTTTTGCTGTATTAGATTTTAAAATATCAAGCAGAGTCTTGTATTATGATTTTTTTAAACCAACAAATTGAACCAAACTTTAAAATTTGATTTAATTTTAATGAGTAGACTACTAGTTTATTTTTATTTTTTCTAATGCAAAAGTAGTAATGCATGCGAAATATGAGGTTTAATTGAGTTTTTGTCATCGAAATGTTGTTACAAACAATATGTACCATGTATCGTTGGTATTAACAGTATGTAATATGTTTGGAATTGTTTAGTTACTTTCTTAAATGTTGAGAACTATGTGCGTTCTATGGCAACTTTAAAGTAAGTAAAAATGTATAATCCATAAATTATTTGTTATTGCAATTTAATTGCATTGATGTTTTGATTAACAAAATATTTTTTCAGGAAAAACAAAATTAAGAAAATGCAACTGTTTGCTAAAGCCGCAACAAGTTTGAGCTACGGAGATTTAACAGAAAAAAGTATAAGATCCAACAATGCTTGGGGTCTCTTGCCAGTTCAGGTAATTGTTTTATGGTTGCTTTTAAAAATAGTTTCAATCATTGACCTCACTCAAATTATACATTAAAAACTGGATAATTTGAAGGACAAAGAAGTTGTAAGCAGAACTTGGGCGCAGCCCCCTTGACCATCCATTAAGATGGTAAAATATTCTTCCTGGTTCTTTCTTTTGTTTTTGTAGGTTGTCTTAAGAAGTGAGAACTCAATCTAGGATAACGCTAAGGCCGAGCGCACACGGTGTGACTGTTTTACAACTGTCGTTGCAAACCAGTTGCGCTTGCAACTGTTTTGCGACATCGGCAATGTATTGCAGTGGGGAGGCGCACACGACGCAACTGGTCGTTTGCGATTTTCAAAAAAGTTTGAAACCAGTCACATGCAACGGTGGGCCCGACGTTGCAGCAACCAGTTGCACGAAACCACGGGGTGTTTTTGTGGTGTTTGGTGGAAATTTGTTGTTATTTTGACGGCCGTATAGTGATCATCTCAAAATGAATGATCAAGAATTCAACTTGAAGCTCGTTGGAGAAGTGGAGAAACATGAAGTTCTGTACAACTACAAGCTGCCAGGATATTCAAGGAAAGATTTGACTGATAAAGCATGGCAAGATGTGTCTGTTGAATTGGGTTTGCCAGGTAATGTTATAAATTAATTTGTTTATTTATTTGTAAACTAATCAATTGATTTAATTAATTAAATATTATACATTAAATTAAAAAAAAAACAACGTCACTGCACTTACAATATAACACTCCACTGATTGCAGAATATACGCAACTGTAGTTGTAACACAGTTGCACCGTGTGCGGACAGAAGCTCTTTTTCAGTTGCAAACTGGTTGCAGTCGCAACGGGTTTGCAACGGTTGCTCTCAAAACAGTCACACCGTGTGCGCTGGGCCTAAGATATTGTGGGTTGGGTTTGTGTCTGGTCTCTACTAAGTATGGAAACATCCACAATTCGTTCACACCATTCACTTATTCTTCATGTGTTTCTACAGGCAATCTTCAGTTCACTTGTGCCAGGAGAAGTCTTGGAAGGTCATCTTGGCGCTCAGATTAACTTTCCAGCTTGGTTTGGCAAGAACTCAAGACAGACCAAAATGAATAGACTCGTGCAAGAGCTGACTGTACATTCCAGACTTAAGTAAGTTGTAAAAATAATAAAGATTTAATTTGAATTTTTAAAAGATCTTGAAACAGTATTCAAGCAGAATATAGATATTTAAGGGCAGGGTTGGATGTTAATGCTGGTTGTAGGTTTGACCAGTAAAAAAAGTGTTTTGCTTTCTTGGTTGTTGTGCAACATTTTGCTGCAATGATTCATTCAACGTTGGTTAGGAGTACGTAAAAGGTTTATCAGATCTTACTTTACAAATTTTGTAATTTATTACTAGAGTAATGATGCAATTACAATCCCATCAATATTTAATTATGGCAATAATAACTTTGTGATTAATCATAAGAAGAGTCAAGTAGTTCCAATTACTTGTTAAAAATTAGTAGTTTGGAAGAGATGAAAAGTATTGAATTGAGTGTAATAAAGTAAACTAATGATTTATGTGTTGATATAGACTTTGCTAATTCAATTATATTTGTTATTGAATTTTCTTTATTTCCAGAAAAAGCTTAATGCATGGTTTTTAAAATAAAGACAGTTGTGACTTGTTAAATAAAATGAAAAAGCACTTTATTTTCAAAATTCTCAATACAAATTACAAGTTTGTCCCACACTGGGAACAAGTCTGAGACGCGTTACAGCAATAACCTCTCGGTCGTCTGCCGGGTTGGCACATCTAATACTAAAACTAACATAAAAGTTCTTAAACAAAAAATTAATTCCTTTAAAATAAAATTTAACATATTTCCTTAAATTAAAAATATATAACAGCGATTTTATATTTAAGAAATAGAAATAAAATTTAACCAGTTTAAATTCTGTAGTTGTGAATTGTATGGATACCATAATGTATGGTAGAGGTTAGGGTATGTTTTTTAACCTAATCTTGCTTCAAAATATAATAGCCTCCACATGAAGCATGAGTAACAATTATTATAAGCATACGTAGTACCTTTTTGCAAAAGTTGTGAGAAAAATCCTATTTAAATAAGTGAATGTAATTAACACCTCTGTTAAAGGATATCAGGCAATAGAGAGGCTATGAACCTAGACTATGTGTCGTCGCTAGGCAGTGCCATCACCGGTCCGTTACTGCGTGACGGCACGGATGGCGTGTCAACGGCGCTCGGAATACTCAGTGAGTACTGTCTGGTACGGGAAGACTTGGAGAGCATTACGGAACTATCCACTTGGCCTGGAGGAAAGAACCAGTTCTCTGCAGTTGATAGCAAGGTACACAAGCGTATTAGAAACGGTTGTTTGAACCATTGACTTTTGAATAGTGAAGTAGACACACCATGTATATGGAACAGATGTAGCCAATTTTTTATTAAAAAAGAAAATACACCAGTCCAAAAGTCCTCCAATACTTAAGTACTTTACTTTGAAATGGCGACCATATGAATGTATATATTTTAAGCCAAGTATGAATGAAGATGAGTGGCATGATCTTGTAGTCTTGTTAGTGACTAAGGCCGACATGTTCCTTAGACACAGCTGTTAATTAAATAGCTGTCTAACCCAAACCACCTGTTGGGGGAGAAAAGTATTTCATTTGAAAATAAATGTAGGGTTCTGAATTATATAAATTGTTCATGCATTTTGTATGAAACCAGGGAATTGGGTATTACTGCCAATATCCTATGGTTGAGCTTCCATTCTTCATTAACAGAGTTTTATTGGTTCTCTTGTCGTAACAGTTTGGCCAAGAGTTTTAAGTCAAAAACTTGAACTGAAAGTTCATAAAGAAAGAACTATTAATATTATATTACAAACATTGTAGTTGTCTCCTAAGTTAATGTTTTTAAATAACATTTGTGTATTTTAACTAAAGCACACAGAAAGAAATTAGTTTTTCTAAATCATGTTATTGATTGAATCACAATAGGTGTTTGTCTTAAAAATTAATCAATTACCAACTTAAAACAATAATTTTGCCAAATTTACTATTTTCATTGCACTTAATTCTTTCATACTTATTCACAAAATACCTTCATCATCTCATTGCCAAGTGAGTTGGTAGCAAAATTTTATCTTTTTTCTAGCAAATTATATTCCACTTCATGGTTTACCTTCTTCTAAACTAAATTTTATTTCTAGGTGAAAGCTGCGTTTACCAGAGCATATAATAAAACCAGTGCACCTACTCCATACGCTGCAGTTCCTATCAAGAAAGGCCGAGGTGATGTTGATAACTCGGATGGTCTAGGAGAAGAAGAAGAATGTGCCGCGCCAGACTTAGAAGATGAAGAGGAAGAAGGTCTCGAAGGCGATGCCATGATCATGGTAAGATGTGTTGTAAATAAAATAGATGTGCCTATATCTCTTCTCCCTATTAGGTATACTTTGCAGATTTGCCTTCAATTTCTAAATGTATTAAATTAGTTGAGGCCGTGTACAAGAGGTTTACCCAAATATCATTGAAATAAAGTCATTTACATGATCAATTAAGTACAGTCAAGCTCTAAAATTGGGCTTGCACAGACATGTTTTTTTTTTTTTTTATAAGGATGGGAACCGAAAACTCTATACTCCTAGAAAAAGTCTGTTTGAATCACCAATTTTCAAATTTAGGTTGAATAATTATCTGAGGAAGTTAATCTGAGCAGTGGTTGATCCAGGGTTCAAGAAGGTCCACTGTAATAGCTCTATGAGATGCAAAAACTAGGAATTCTTTTGCAGCCTGTTTTCTTCATTTGAACCTAAACTAAAATGGATGCTATAAAACTTGCACTGTGTCCTCTGCCTTGAATTTTATCAGTTCAATTATGATTTTTTGATTATAAAATGTCCCCATGTATCTTGTAAACAAATTGGTTTCATCATATTGGTAATTGGTTTTCATATTGTTCATAGTTAGTACGCCTTCAAAGCAGGGTATCCACATTCTGGAAAGTCAGGGATAGTCATGGAAAGTCATGGAAAAAAATTTTGGTCATTGAAAGTCAGGGAAATAGGCAAGAAGTCATGGAAAGTCATGGAAATTTTCAATTATGTATGGATTTGAGGGGACCATTCAATGCTCTAATCAGCCGTAACCCGGACTGTTGTAGCATTTTTCAGGATTTTTCACAAATGCTCGACAATTCAATTTATTACAGTTGTATTATTTTATGAGTTTTCGGTTTGTTTTAGTTCATTTTTGTACCTATTGTACTCCATTGTTAACTTTTATTACATATTTCAGTATTTTCTGCAAAATAACATGTCCAGGCAGTATTATTTGTGTGTGTATGTTATATTATAATTTGCGGGTAAAGTTTGTGAGTCATGGAAATCAATGGTAAATGGTCATGGATAGTCATGGAAAGTCATGGAAATTAATGACACATTTTTTGTGGACACCCTGTCAAAGATTTAAGCAAATCTTTAGCTATCAGAAGAGGAATGCTGGTGTAATATAAAGCCTAAAAGCTTGTGTAATAGTGCACCAAGTTAGAATGTTTAACCGAGACGAGCCAATAGTGTTGTGGTTTAGAAAGCATTAGCAAAGATTGACATAACTGTGCTCGCCTTCAACTCTGAAGGTCGCTGGTTCGATTCCAAGCGAGATTGTTTCCAGACCCATATACCATTTGTCATTGGGCTATGAATTAATGATGTTATCTAACAAAAAGGTCAACAAGACCAGGGTTTAGACTGTTCCCTTTCTAAGGGTAAAAAATGCCATTGGCATAGAAAACACACAAGAAATGAGTTTATGGCACATTATACAAAAGCTAAAAGCACCAATTTCGGGAAAAAGCTTAACCAAAACAAAAATCTCAGGCTCGCTTATCCTCAGTGATCAGCTAGGGCAGGAGGTTTTGGTATATTTTAAAATTTAAATCGTTCTGGGAAGACAAGAATTCATTTTAAAAGAAGCGTTAACTTTTTTTCCCCCCTATATATGCAGAAAGTAATGTTTTGTCAAAATATTAGAGTTTAAGGTGGAAAATTGTATTTTTTGTCTCAATGCATTTTTTTATATTTTTATTAAGATTTTAAAGATTTTTTAAAAGTTTTAAGCTATAAAATAACATCAGAATTTTGCATAATGGACTCTGACAATTTTGATTCAAATTTAGTTTGTTATGGCCCGTTCATGGTCCCTAATGCTGTAAAAATTTTAGTTAAAAGTTATTGCAATTTTAATTTTAGTGATTTTCCCCATAAAACTGCATAGCTACATTTTAAATTAAGTAAATCTGCTGATTTCCAGACAGGAAGATCAATGTTGTTCGAAGAGCGTTTCAAAACTAACTAAATCACTTCAATTATTTACCTTATGACACTTGTAATGCAAGGTATTCAATTATGATAATCATAAATATTCCGCAGTCATAGGTGTTAGTCTGACTCGCTCCTTTGACCACTTCAACAACAGGATTACTGTCAATGTTAGTTATTGGTAGTAGCATTGGACATTCATAGCCACAGTCACTGCATTGTCCATGTTGTATGCAAAGAATCGTAGTGAAAAAATTTATTTGTGGACTTTTCATATTATATAAGGCTAGGATTATACTAGGACGCTGGCGTCCGAGAGGCCAGCGTCCGGGACGCTAGCGGGGCATTAAATCAAATGGGGGCGATTATACTATGGATGCTAGCGTCGGATGCTAAAAAAAGCCACCGAAAGCTCGAAGTTCCGTAGGTTAAACCTAGGTCAGATATAAACCTTGGTCAGACCTAGGTCCGGGACCGATTTACTTTTTCATTTTGATGTCCCCAGAGGCCAAAAACATCATCCTTAGTAGAGTTAGTATAGATTTAAATGTTATATATATATATGTCTGTAAACCCGATAAATGGAGTAACTTTTGTTCTATTTTGAAGAAATTTGGTTTTAAGGTGAAGGGTGGGATAAATTTGAATGAGTTCGTGAACCAGCATGAACATACCTTGGGAACGGGGTTTTATGTGCTAAAAAAGGGGGTTTGTCATTTTTGACCCATAAAACTAAAAAATTCACAATTTCTCTCTAGACAATTTTAATGAGCTTAAAAACAAATAATTTAGTATATTTAAGTGTGTTTGTACTGTTATTAGTTATGGAGAAAATTAAAAAAAGAGTATATTAAAAATTGCTATGTTATTCTTATAGAAAATGTTGTCAAGTGTTGGAATTTGCTTGTGTATGGATATATTTTGATTAAACTTGGCCAATTTGTTTTATACTAAGCTAATAATACAGTATTTTACTAAAAAACACACTTTATTAGCCCCCTTAAAGCATTAAACCTTGGTACTCGTTAAACCTAATGTTATTTAAATAGATATAAAAAAAGTGACTAAACATTGATATACGAGTAAAATGGCATTCCGAGAGGCTAGCATCCCAACACAAATCACGTCATTTTTCGGCTCGAGGTGGGACACTAGCCTCTCGGATGCCAGCATCCCGGACGCCAGCGTCCTAGTATAATTCTAGCCTAAGTGTACTCCAATGGGTTCCACCACTTTGGTTCAATTTTTTGACGTTATTTAGTGGCATTAACAAAATATCCTTGTCTTTTTTATGAAGAGGATCAAGATATTGTTTATATTCATGAACGTTCTGAACGGCATGAACAATCAGTGGATTTAGTAATAAGATTGATACATTTTTTTACAGTTTAAAATTTAGAAGCTTGTATAGCAAGTGATTGTTTCATCAGTTAAACAGTTTTTCTTCAACTGTAAGGTTGTGATTTCAGAATTTTCCTCATGTTTATCAATATTCAATATCATGAAGAAAATCTTTTCTGAGAGTTATTTTTTGATACCGCTTGCCTCCTTGTTAACCTGGTACTTGTATTTTTCGGACTGTCCTTATGAACAACTTCTGATTGATTCCTATTCATTTTTCCTAGTGTATAGTAATAATTATAATAATTAGGTCTCCATAGATATAAAATGCAGTCAAGGAGCCAAGTATAATAAAAAAAATTAACTCTATCAGTTTGGCGACACCGTTTATTAAGGTATGCATTTACTGTAGGCTACTGTAACAAAATCATTTTGTTTTTACAGGTTAAAAAGAAACCTGCAGGTAAGAAAGCTGACAAGGAAGTTCAACCTTCAACATCTAAAGGAAGCAAGACTTCTAAAAGAGGGAAGAAAAAGTAATTTTTGTTAGTATTAATTATACTGTGTACATTTGTAGAATGAAATTCGTTCAAGTTTATACTATTACAAAATATTATGTTCAATGTAAATTTTAACTTTTTCAGGATTATTATCTATATTTATCTATTTTTATGAAGTCTAACTTATATAAGCCTTATCTTAAGTTTATACAATTTTTGAGAAAGATAAAGTATGTTATTTCAGGCAGATGAATAAAATGTAAAACTAAACCAAATCATGAAATTAGTAAAAAAAATTGTTTGTGAAATAGTTGTGCTAATCTTTTGTTCAAACCAATCACACCTTCAAGAGCTAATTCACTGGCATCTGAAAATAACAGAGTGTAGAGATATTGTTAAGTTAATACAAATAAATTCTTAAAGCCTTTAGTAACAGAAAATCATTTTATCTTCCACAAATTATTAAATAATTAATTAATTGTCAAATATTAATATTACTTCAGTAACATTAAACATCAATCATTAATGCCATTATTGGTATAGTATATGAGATCTTGGCTTTAGCTAGGATAGGATTAGCTCTGCCCGATAATGATTTTATGGTAAAATAGTAACAAACATGAGGATTCTGTTTAAATTGTATTGTATTACTGTGATTTGAGGTTAATTTTCTTAGTTAGTGGAGAAAAAGCAATGACTAATGAGAAAATCTTCGGTGAAGGTGTGGTTGGTTTAATTATTGGAAAAACATCATATTTTTATGCCACTGGTAGGGTGTTTAAAAAAGATAGCTCTACTTCACTTTTTCAAAACACCTAAACAATTGAACGCTTGGTTAAAATTGTTTCCTTAAGTTTTATGTTATAGCTTTAATAAGGGCTGCAGTATATCAATTTTATGAAGTTGTTTTTACAATAAATAATCCTGGTGATTTGACAAACTTTTGTACTGTTATGTTTTCCCTTGTTATTGGTATTTAAAACACAAAGGTTATCACAAGTAATATAACTAATTCTTCACTTACAACTAAAAATATGAATGGATAAAGAAACTTCTAAAGGCTGTAACTGACATGTGTTGAAACCTGGAAGTCAAGGGTAGAACTATGCTTTGGCTTTGGGGTTATTTGCATTGTTAGTACAGCAGAATTCCAACTATTTGAATCGCCGAACACCTAAATCGCGTACAGAAATAATTTAATAAAACTTAAGACCACATTAATAAGAATCAGTCATTAAAGAAGGCAGAAGCTGTGATCGCAGAAAAATCCAAAATCTCTCACCGTTGTGTAGGCACCATTATTGTCTGCCATGGTCACAGAAACATTGTCAACATTTTATTGCAACTTTGAGATTTTCCCTATAAAATATCATAGTTACTCCCACCGCTTAGGCTTACCCATGATAACGGTTGTTGACAAGCGAATTGGAGAAAGTATGTGTCAGATTGCTGATACTGTTTATTTTACATGGTGCTCGATCATTAGAGTTTTTAGGGTAGACTCAGTGGAACTTTAAAATAATACTGATCTGACACCTCTAGTTGTATGATGTAATATTATAGTTTGTAATGTTTATTGCACTACCAACAACTTCCGAGATGTACAATTTAAGATTTTGGTGCCCACTGTCTCACGGAGCAACTTGCAGCAGCGTAGTTAGCTTATATTTCACGTGGCTCTTTACTGAAACACTTTCCCCAAATGGCATACTTGTAGCCAAGTAAGTAGAAATAAAACATGAGTTGGTTAACACACCTAGTTACGTACAAAGAGCTGATTTGTAACAGTAAAGAAATTTCATATTATGAACAACTTGGTCAATTTACAGCCTTAATTTACATTTTCAGGAGGAAATCAAAGAATACCAACATAACTGATTGTAAATTTATTATAATCTATCTTTGGTTTTTTAGCTATAAACTTCACAACAATATTAAAGTCTAATTTGTATCATAGAGTCATCACATAATTTAGCAACAAATCCATTTTGCACATCTCTTTGTGGAAGTAATATTTACATTTGCAGTCATTGAAAAGTGGTCGAGATGGAATGGCTTTGCTAGGTTGTATGAAACACAACATAAAATATAGATTCTTCAGGTTTCGTACATGATATATGTTTTATAAAAATAATAGAATTTGCAATCAATTCAAGAGTGAACACATTTAGAAGAATATAAAATCTATTAGGAAAAATATGTTACTGTACAAAATATATATTTTACCAAAAGAGTTCAGTGTTATCTATACAAAAAATATGGATAGTAAGTTTTTTAATTTACTTGTCAGCCAGGTACAAAAATCAACACAGTTTGTTGATTTGAATTGACATTGAGATTTAAGTGGATAGTATTTTTTACTTGGCTATCCTTTATTTTGCAAATTTATTATAGGCCTATACCAATTGGCAATAAGAACAATATTCGAAAGTATTCATAATATTTTCTCGACTATTCCAATTACATCCATTTTGAGTTATTAGGGATGAATAATTATGTCCAGTAGTGAATTTTCATTATATTTTTAACAATTTCGGGTCATATCTCTATGAATAACAAAGATCTTCTTTTTGAAAAATTTGTTACTCTAATCTTGCCACAAGACACAGCATAAAAACTATTGAATGTTGATGGTTACAAGTATTTCAACTATATAAATAATTTCAAAAAATCATTCTAATCCTTACAATACAACAACAAGAGAGTGTGGTAGGTAGTTGTTTGTTTACAACTGAAAAAACATTTTTGCAGGATGATTTTGCTGCTATATCCAGATATACAGATAATGCACTACAAAATCAAAGAACCTTTTCATTTTCATCGGATTTTATAACTGAAATAAGTATTTTAAACCTTATCATTTGAAGGGAATCCTCACCCATGAAATTCAAAGTTTGAGACTAACAGTATTTTAAAACTACAGTAATAATTTATATTTTATTTTACTGTCATCTCACACGCATGTAAAGTTTTTCAGTACAACATTAGATAGAAATACAGAATAATGTATTTTATTTTTAAACATTTATACTTTCCAATCATTCTGTGTAGTTTTAAAAATGTAGGTCTGGTAAAACCTATTTTATCCATTGAGTATTGGTCAATGCCAGAGGCAGAAGAAAAATAACTGTTATAGGATAATTAAATGTGTAAGATCAAAAATGAACGGTGCTTAAAGTAAGAGCGATAATCTTATTTATAGTGAGTCGAATGCTCTTTTTGTTGTTGTATTACATTTTAAATAATGACATATAACATGCCAAATCAAAGACAATGGAAATAGGTTGTATATTTCGTAGTATTTTTTTTTATTCAGCTATCCCAAGGTAAGTAAAAAAATGAATGAAATAATATGTTTCATTCATTATCATGGTTCTACTGTAGTGTATCATGTTTTATTATGATAATCAAGAACTGTGTTAGTCTTGATACATTTCCTAAGTGTTATCTTTGGTCCTTTTTGTTCGCTATTCATAGGATAATAATCTATATTTTGACTATGAGAATACTCGCTATCTATAATTTTATAATATAAATATACACCCTGACTTGACTAGATTCGTATTTATCTAAGTAATAAAATTGACGTAAGTAGATGCTTGTATAGGGTTACTACTAAAAATAGTTTTCTTCTGAAAATGTACAGTGTTGTTTAAATTAATTAATGCCTATTGCAGTAATCAACATATGTACATTAAGTGCAATTGAATCAGCTACCAAAGTAGTTTGTTATTTATTTTTACTTTGAAGTTCATCTATAACACATTTGGTGTGACATAACAAATTTTTATTCTGTATTGCATGCTTCGGAGAAGAAATTTGTACAATTTTTTATTCACTCAAAAGAACTGATTCATAGGAGCACTAATAAGTAATGAAGCCATGTTTATATGAGGCCAGTTATAGGGCAGGTTACTTGCTTCTTTTGTATTTCAAGTTACCTCAGCCAAGTAACCTGCCCACCACACGGCTTAAACACAGCTTTTGTACAAATATATATATAGTTTGTAATTTTCACACAGGTAATCACATGAAAACCTATTAAATAAACATTAAAAATTGATATAACAGGTTTTAGCTTAAATGAAACTATCGTATATACAGGACAGGAGTGTCAAACAAAACCCAACTTGATGTTAACAGAGATTGGAGACATCTCCAAAAATACTTTTCAATATCAAAATCAGATATCTTAAAGGATGACCGACAGTTACTGTTGTGAGGGGAAGGGGTGTCATTCATTGTTCATTGTTGTATATTATTCAATTTTCCTCAGTCATGGAACATTGCATGGTAAAGACCCTAATGTTTTCTTTATGCCGAGCATAATATGTAAACAAAGTAGCAAAATAGCAAGCCTGTAACGGCAGTACAACAACATTTATTTAGTTCCCTTTCATCTTAGACTCCATCATATAGTTTCTAGCCAAAACATAATTGTCAGATGGATTAACAATTAGAGGAAAACAGGATCTATCCGCAAAAGAAAGCAGGTTAGCCGAAAAGTAACTGTTATGATTCTGTAGATGTTGAAACGTTTTGGCAAGCTTTCTTTCTTAAGTGTTGATATGCTCTAGCACTTTTTGAGTTCACTGGTGAGACAGCAACGTTTTATAAACAACCTATGTTTATTATCAACAAGATTCATTCATTCATGATTCACACTGCTCAGGATTAAATGGCTGTGGTGTGTATTGTGTTTCTAGAATGGGTTACTTCCCGTGTCCAAATATCCTGGGGCCCCAAAATCACCAGAATTGAGCGTATGAATTTTTTCTTAGTGGTATTCTCAAATTTTTGTGTCCACACTCATAGACCCCGAACCCTGATGGATCTTAAGAACGCAATTAATCAAGAAGTGTTGACGAATAATGGTAGCTGTGAAACGCTGGGACGTGTAGTGGACGAATTTAAGAAATAAGTAATGCTGTCCGGTTTTATTCGGTCATCCTTTATATTCCATCAAAAGTATAGATTGATGGATGGATAAGGTTGATTTTAATTTACTTTTGAAGAGGATTTTTAACCTTGCATTTTTCAGTCAACGCTATGAGACTGGTCTCAGCTTTGCCACTGAGGATGCCTCGTCTTAGCATGAGCGAAACGTTTGGTTTTGTACAAAGTGTAAATACCGACTTGATGAGGTTCTCATCGGAAGACCGAGAATTCCAGCAAAAATAACATAAACATTAAAGTTGGTTGAGATTGTAATACTCTACCATGCCTGTAAACCTTGAGTATCACACCATCTAACTGGCTGACATGTAACTATAAGCTAATTAATGCATCATCAATCTTTTTCGTGAGTGGGGGGATTTTTATACCAAGACGCCTCCAGTTGGTGGATGCCTTCGCTGGTGAAGGAGAGAACGAGGAACAGACAACAATGGATGAAAGTCCACAGCTGAAGGTAAAGAGACGTAAACAACCCGTAGACAGTGATGAGAATGAGACCAGTCCAGAACAGCAATGCGAGGAGAAGTGCGTTGGTAGGGGTAGGTGGAGGGGATGTGGTGGAAGTGGCGTGAGGGGTGAAGCTGCGGTGGAAGTAGAAGTCCACTAGCATCTGCTCCTTCTGTTGCCAGAGGTCATTGACCCACTCCTTCAGTCCTGCATCACTGGTTGGTATCTCACTGGTGGGGTACCTGACATTTTTGAAGTCATAGGATTAAATTAGCTATATATGGTACACTTGAATTTACTAGCACATGTTATAAAGCTAAATAAAATATCGGTATTGAAATTACACCATCCATCCAAATTCCCCATTCGTTTTTTTTGTTTGTGTGTGTTTCAACATCATTTTTAATTATTTTAAAAGGGAATTATTTTAATTTTAGCATTTTTAAAGATAATGACCAGTCCAAACTTTTTTGGAATACCGGTTATCACTTTTTACAATTATTAAAATATGCACTAACCAAACAGAGTACTCGTCTTACTGAGGTTTTACTTTTTATTCATATGAGGTTTTTATTTTTATCTAGGGATTAATCCAACAACCGCATAGAGCTGCACCCTGGTGCTTAGGTCGAGGCAACAGTATAGCTCGTCACATGACCGTGACATGGCATCAGTTCGTTTTTGGCCGCCAAACGTGAAACTGTGTACGTAGTGTTCATCGTGTTTTTGTGCTAAGCAAAATTACCTTATAGGTAGAACAGCGGTACTGCATTAAATGGGTTATACCACAGAAAACGTACTACTATACCCAGAATGCCAACCGCATGGTAAAAAGCATTAAGCGGTTTGAGAGAGCTTTGCCTGTCAATCCGTAGGCAGCGCCACCAGCGTTGCCATGCAATAGCATAGCAACGCTGGTGGCGCTGCCTACGGATTGACAGGCAAAGCTCTCTCAAACCGCTTAATGCTTTTTACCATGCGGTTGGCATTCTGGGTTATAGTAGTACGTTTTCTGTGGTTATACCCAAGCTTAAACGATTCTTAAGATTCACCAAGCCTTTGGAGAAGATGCTATGAGTGTAACACATGAAAAAGAGTGGTACAACAGATTCAAAGATGACCACACTTCGGTGGACAGTGAACCTCGTTCTGGGAGACCATCAGTAAGTCAAACCATGAAGTTATCGATCAAGTTTGAGTTTTAGGGATGGAGGATCGTTGCATTACACTACAAAACTAATTCCAGCTCCTGTAGCTAGTTTCTTGAACTGTGTATGAGATAAACTCAAAAACTACTGAACCGACTAGGCTCAAATTGCACACAAATGAAGCTACACAGCTCCCAGGATACATATGGAACTATTCCCGCTTCGATATTAACCTAGGACTCTGCCCAGTGGGGTTTAAAAAATTGAGGTGAGAGATATAGCTACAGAAGTTGGAATTAGTATTGGTTCAGTTCATTTAATACGGGGTGTCCCACGAAGGGGTTTAAACGTTTGATTTTATATTACGTGCCCATTCATGCATCAAACTTTTTTAAACTTGACACAGTTTAAGAAGTAGGATATAAAAATATTCTGGAAAAATTTCAACTCCCTAACCTTAGTAGAAACAAAATGGCGGCATATTGAAAAACGATGCTTTAAAAACATTAAAGAAGGTATTTTTGGTTTTATAAAATAATTTTATTGTTACTTTCTAGGGCATGACTGAAATAAAAAAAAAACTAGAACATAGCCTAATGGAAAACAATGTTTAAAATTATTCAAACTGTAACCCATACACAGCAACACAGTTGATAACGGTGCGTAACAATTTATTCGTAAGCTCTTAAAAAAAAACCCTGCAGTATTCGGAGAAGTTCCTCTTCTATTGATCGTTTTAGTTCCTCATCATTATTGAAGCTATGGGTATAAACTTGTTCCTTCAAGAAACCCCATAAAAAGCTGTCGCAAACAGTTAAATCAGGTGATTGGGGTGGCCAATCTAAAAAAATCATTTCCACGACCAATCCAACGGCCATGAAGGTTGCCATTTAGTAATTGCTTGACAGGATTTGCGAAATGAGATGGTGCACCATCTTGTTGAAAGATTGCTTGATTCATTTCTGGTACCGTAGAACCTGTTCATTTACAACTCATTTTACAATCAAACAGCTGTTCTTCAACAATGAGCGTTAGAACCGCAATGTAGTAAACAAATCAGATAATAAATCATGAAAGTAATTTTTATAGAAAGCAAATTGGTACATTTTTCAATATGCCGCCATTTTGTTTCTACTAAGGTTATGGAGTTGAAATTTTTCCAGAATATTTTTAGAACCTACTTTGTAAACTGTGTAAAGTTTAAAAAAGTTCGGTGCATGAATGGTCACGTAATATAAAATCAAACGTTTAAACCCCTTCGTGGGACACCCTATATAAAGCTATGCACAGAAATGCTGCAAAATTTGTACTAAATAACTTGACTGATGAACCAAAGGAATTGCTGCTTGAAGTTGCTCAAGTCATAGTGGAATGCATTCAGAATGCTACGCCAGGCCCCTACTTTATATGGATTTGGCACTGTGTGACTTCTGGCTGTTCCCTACCTTGAAGACATCACTTAAAGGGACCTGATTTCAGAGCAGAAATGAGATAAGCAATATGCAAGAGCTTGTCTGAAGTCCATTAAGAAGGATGAGTTCCAGGCTTGTTCCAAAAGTGGCAGGAGCACTGGAATAAGTGTATCAAGTCCCAAGGGACTATGTTGAAGGAGATCACATGTTAAATCAAATTTATCAATAAATTATGCTTTGTACCTTTTTATATGGAAGTGAACCTCTTCTGGGAAAATGCCTCTCAAAACGTCCATCTCGGACTGTGGAAGGGAGCCAGGGTAACCAACACTGAAGTCATACACTGCATCTAGCTGCCTGTCTGCGGACAAACATGGTTTACGTTATATATTTGACTAAGTAGGGGTTAAATAAACTATTAATTTTCTCTAAGAAAGTACAAGGTAAACATTAAAAATATAAGTAATTTACCTAAGGTTTTAGTTTTACCTAATGGTATTTATTTTCAAGAAGGTAAGTAATAAGCTTTGAAGCAAAAGTGTTCAAAACCCATATGTAATCTAACTTGTCGCTCCCGATCTGAAGTCCGACACACTAACCACCAGGCTAGTGACCCCCCTTCCCTTCTCTTTTCCCTTTGTATAAAACATATACCTTACTTCTCCGTGGTCCAGATCAGTGAGAGCCCAATGCATTTATTTGGAAAATAGCTGTTTCATACATAACTCAAAATAATATATATACTTACTCTCTCTCATTTTGTTAGCCAGGAACACAAACCCCGTTGTTTTAGGATGCAGCACCTTCGTGTAGTGTTCAAGGTGATGAGTGTCTGCAAAGTCATTGCTGCGTTTTAAGCTTCTTTCATTGAAGTCTGTTCCTTCAGGAAATATTAAAACCTAAAAGTATAATGAGGTTTTAAACCCTATAAATCATTTGAAACATTTTACATAGTCTAACTATACTCTAATATTTTATTCTGAAATGGTAACTATGAATGTAGGTATTTCAAAGCCAAATATGATTGGAGAAGATCAGTGTGAGATGAGAGGTGTGATCTTGTACTCTTGTTAGTGACTCAGGCCAACATGTTCCTTAGACACAGCTGTTAGTTAGCCCATACAGCCATGGCAACTAAGACATATATCATAGTGGAATCCGAACCACATTTTTGCATTGTAATTAACGAATTGGTCCAATTATCAGGATAGTACTGCGGATAGTTGTAGTACTCACTAGTGCGGACGCTAATCCACATCAGGGAATATTGCATTCACAGTGCATGCCCATAAATATCCACAATTTGTGACCTCCAAGTAGCTGGATTACAGGACGACGCCACCGTCCCAGTCCATTCTATTTAGGACCATGAGATTAGTGGGACTCTTCTTAAGACAACCTCATTCCCTCATTTTCATTTCCTTGCCTCCGCTTTGGATTGATGTGGCTTAACTTGGCACCACTTAAACACTTCAATGCCAACGCATTAATAAAATGTCTACTTATATAAATAGTCAATGGTAAAAAGTAAACAAATGTTTACAGGAACACACTCCTGTGAGTGGCTCATTCCAAAATGTTCTTTTTGAATAAAAGTTGGCTGTAGATTGTCCATAGATGGAATGTATACCTCAGTTTCCCATAGTAAATGTTATTACTTACTTGATATGTGTATTTTATTTCACTGAGGTAGTCCAAAACATTGGCCAGCAACTTCTGGTCCCTCTCCCACTGACGGTGGATGTACAGGAAGCCGGCCATCTGCATTACCCATCCTGTAACCATAAAGGTGTAAGAAATTTCTTAAAACCCATTTTCAACTACCAAAAGCTGTTGAATGGTAGAAATAACGCAAACAAAATAGTTGCAAAATATAACCTATTAATAGATCAATTTCAAAATATCTTTATTCTTTGAACAAGTACAGTTTACACAAGCAGAGATTGATATATAATATAGTAAGTTATGCATTACAATATAAAATTAATAATAACCAAGTACAAATTGTGAATGAATAATAGTTTACCCATTTATTTTTTTACCATTATACAATCTAATATAGCAATATGTAAAACACAGTAATACAAATTCAGATTAAACAAAAATCATTGTAAAAAACAAAAACAGTTTGTTTAATTTTTCTACATGACTAGACTAGTTAGTAGTTTTGTTCTAATACTTGTAAAGCTATTAAAAACATGTATAGATCCACATTAGATATTATCAATATCAATTATTTAAGATGGGGACGTCACTATGTGCACATTTTAACCTAAATATGAGTGAAGGATGAGTGTAGGATGAGTAGCGCGAGTTTGTAGTCTTGATAGTGATTAATTCCGACATGTTCCTTAGACACAGCTGATAATTATTAGCCCATACAGCCAATGGCAACTAAGGGACCTACAGTTTATAGTGGAATCCGAACCACATTTTTTCTTGTAATTATCGAATTGGTCTAAATATCAGGATAGCAATGCGGATAGCGTAGTACTCACTAGTGCGGATGTTAATCGGTTAATCCACACCAGGGAGCACCGCAATCGGCAATCTTATCTCCTCAATATTTGGACCCTGACATTTTCTACATTATCATCATCAGTGATGGAGATTACCTGGGCCAGGAGCGTGTCTGATTGGTGCCTTGAGTACAAACTTGGTGCGGTGAGTCTGTGGCTCCGCAGCGTAGAACATGGCAGCCCATAGGAAGTTCCAGTCGAGTCTTGTGCGATGGTTCATAACCAGCAGGCTGCACTCACTAGTCCTCACTCTGTCTCCTGTCACAATGATCTTGGTGCCGAACAAAACTTCCATCAGTACCTGGATACATAACAGAAGAGATTGATTGGGTTTAGCATACAAATATTTTCACAAAGTTGTATAAAAAGCTTTCTACATTTTATAAACATTAATAAAATTTCTAAAAAATTGGCACAATTTATCAGAAACCTTTTTGCACACCAAGGAACATGTTAGAACAATTGTCAACATGTTTTTTAAAACATACATAAAATGTTCTACAAAATTATAATAATACTAGGGGCATGTAGGGACATAAGTCCCTAAAAAGCTAAACATGTAAAACAACTATTATAATATTATAATATTAAAACACACTAAGAATCAAATTATCTATTTTTCAAGATGGCCTGTACATGCCTGTACATAATATCTTTGTCCAAAAAAGTCTCTCTGCTTTGGTTGTTGTTACCTATACCACAGAAAACGTACTACTATAACCCAGAATGCCAACCGCATGGTAAAAAGCATTAAGTATTTTGAGAGAGCTTTGCCTGTCAATCCGTAGGCAGCGCCACGGCGCTGCCTACGGATTGACAGGCAAAGCTCTCTCAAAATACTTAATGCTTTTTACCATGCGGTTGGCATTCTGGGTTATAGTAGTACGTTTTCTGTGCCTATACATAATCAAATCGAATGTTTGCCCTTAACGGCGGTTTGCGTCACTAAACGGCCATCCTATCGTGATGAAACTTTTGGGAAGTAAATAAGTAGTATACAAAATTAACAGTTTTATTAGCCACATTGAGTAATATTTTATGGTTTTAGGGTTCCATTTCCCAGTTGTCGAAGCCAATATTGACAGTTGTTGACACGAAATCTTAGGTTTGGTTTTTGGTTTTCAAAAAGTCTAAATTATAGATAACGTTATCCCTGGTTTTAATATAGTATACAGTGCATTGCAGAGTTAACTAGCTAAGAAGAAAACCAACTGCGTGTATTGAATACTGGCTTAGAAATATAGCACAATCAAGTAAACAAAAATCTGCTGTGAATGGCTTCCAATGCTATTCTTATGGAGAACATTTTATGTTGTATTTTATTTTGATAAAAAATTTGGGGAATTTCACTATTTTTCCCGCCGTCATGGGTTCAAGACCTTTAATTTGAGCCCTCCCCCGTTGTTCTACGACCTCCCAGTCGCCCACAATTTTGAAGCAAAGAATTGTCTTACGTAATTAATACCTATATAAGATAGAAGATTTCCAAAAGGTTATTTCAAATTAGTTAACAAAAGCTATCCGTAAGTTTTACAAATATTTTATTTCAATAAATTTGGCTGTGGTAAAGTTTGTACAAATAAAAATACCCCAGTTACTCCATTGTGGAATGTTAATTAAATGCAAGTTTGCAATAGTTTCATAACCCATAGGTTAAAATGAAGCTACATTTGATTTTGGCACAATTAAGTTCCTGTAACACCAGTCTGCTAGGCGCTAGGCAGACACAATAACTATCAATTTCATAATCTCCAAACTATTCATGACAAAAGGCTTGATCCTCTACCTCATCTGTAGTAAAAGTTTTCATCAACAAAATTCTGCCAACTAGGTTCATTGCAAACTCAACATTTTTAATTCATGCAACATGTCAAAACATAAATATAATTTAATTACATACAATATACAATAAAACCAAAATCCTATAAACCAAAATTTTGAGAGTTTATTTTATAAGACTAGTGTTTGCATCGCTCCTTTATAAAAAAAAGTAAGAATGCCAATGGGCTGGATACATATTTTAATTCTCAGCACTACCATTGACTTTTATTTACTGGAGTAGACATCCCACTTTTGATTGGTGTAGCCAATTTATTATTCAAATAAAATAGTTGAATGAGCCACTTAGAGACTCAAAATTATATTCCTCCCTTAGTTTTTAGTATAAGTCATATTTTGTGTGGCGCAAAAGATGCTATCGACACAAATGAGTAATTTATACAATCGCACACTCTATTGGTAGCTCAATTTGATTCTGTCCATTCTCATTGAAAAACTGGCTATTTTAGTGCATTAGAAAGTAATTTCAGTAAAGTATTTCAACAGCAGGGTCTTTAAACTCATAACATAATACTTTATTAATTAAAGTAGGAATGGGACGTCCACTCCTATCAATTGTCAAAGGATTTCTATGGGACTTACGACAGGATACATTTCCCAGACAGCGAAGATGACATCGATGCAACGACGATACAGCTTGTGATTGAGGAAGAGGAGGGGCAGCAGAGGACAGCACAACAGCAGGAACCCGCTGAAGATGCTCAAGTACCAGAGAATACAATAGATCAGTCCCCGGATCCAGCATCCTTGCATGCCTTCCCTACAAGAAGCAAAATATCAGTACTGTACCCAAGACTCATCAAAATTAAAGCAAATGTAATATGTAGTATTAAATAAATAGTATTAACTAGTTGGGTACCAGTAGCTGAGTGGTTATAGTGCTCGCCTTACAATCAAAAGGTTGCCATGAGAAAAATTAGTAGCTTTTGTATGGTTTGTAACTGGATCCAGCTGTCCCTGATATTTGGGCTTCAAATAAAACATCCTGGTTGAAAGAGTCAAAGTCATCAGTAACAAAGCTACACAGTGCATCTCACTCTCCCTGTACCATTGACTATTGGACACTGAAGTAGACATCCAATCTACATGGACCAATGGTTGCAACAATTTTTTTTTATAATCTATTATACTATCTATCAATAGTCACAAAATATCATGTGACTATGCACAGTGTGACTATATGCACAGTGTGACTACCGTATGTGCAGTGTATCAATTCACCTTGCATTCATACTTAGGTGTGGTGCTGTTTAGTAATAATAACGATAATTACACAGCACATCCCAGTTTTGTTTATTTTTATTATCTCATCAATGTTATAAATATGGGATTCATGACCAAAAGTTAATTGGTATTTCAGTGCCTATTTAACCTTTTGTAATATGTTGAAAATGATGTTAATATCAAAAGAATTTCAGAATCTGTTAATTGGTGTTGTGCTTTACAATTCGAGCTATAGGCCTATAATTGGTTTTGAAAACCATAAGTTGAATACTGAAAAAAGTTATCATTTGTGTTGATGTCCAGTTATGAATGTGCTGCTGTCGACAAAATTATTTTCTCATACATTTAATAACTTATATATTTTTTTACTTGGTGGAATGGAAATGAATCAAAAAAGTAAAGAACAAAACACACTCTACATATACCAGGCAGAAATTACCTGCAATTGTTTTTGGCTTATCGTTAATATTTTAGGCTATAATATGAAGATGACAAATTTAAGTTAATCTATAGTAAAAAAGATACACCTTATAGGCAACCAATGTGTAAGTAATACTCATACATTTCCAATACAGTAAATTACTGTACCGGCACCTACCTATATGTTTGTGACAAACATCATTCAAATTCGATTTAATGTAAATATTAAAAGTTTGAATTACTTACGTTGGTATCAGTCAGGAACAATATCTTTTCTGAGTTTCAGTCTTTTAACACTTCTAGTGTGAATTATTCCTGAAAATTAAAAATTTGAATCATTGCCCATAAAAATTGCCAAATATATACCAAGTCAAGTTTAGAAAACTTTTTAAATCAGTTTGGTTTTCTGAGTAAAATTTAATAAGCTAAAACACCATTACAACTTTCATATTGTTGAATTGTTTAAAAAGAGGAAAAACAAACCTTCATTGTTGAACTTGGATATATCCCTGTTTAGCCCAAGATAACCCATTCCTAGTTGTCCGTTCTTCTAGTTGACACCTAGCCAAACTCCCTGGCTTACCGAATGCCAAAATTTACACACCTCTTCCCCCACTCATTGTTAATCACATTCTATTTTTGCATTGTTGTAGTATATAAGTTGATTTGACGTTTTATTATAAATATTTGAGTTTCCTCAATTACCAATTTATATGCAAGAAATATTATATTATATCACAAATATTTTGAGGTATGTGCTTGTGGATTTACAAAATTGAGTGCACTAAACTCACAGAGCATAGAATAAATATTTATTCTATGCTCTGTGACTAAACTTAAGTTTGAAAAATAATTAATTTAAACGAAAGTGCAATTGTATGGTGCAATTGGCAGTAAATGTCAGATAACTTTGTTTAAGCTTACTAACTGAGAGCAATGTGAACAAGTTTATCATACAACATCATCAGCTTAATCAGTATCCAGCAAGATGGAAATACACTGTCAAATTAATAAAGGATTTTTAATCATATACATAACACCACCCCCACCCCTCCTCAGTAAACCTACAGACTAAGTGAATTTCTAATTGCCTGATTTGAACATTTCCTAAACAAATGTCAGAAGTATTCCCTATTTAAATAACATTAGGTTTAATGAAGACTTAGGTTCTGCTACACGGGAGGTAATAAAAATGTGTTTTTAGTAATAGTTTTATGTTAGTAGCTTGGAATTAAATAACTAAGTTGACCAAAATTCGTTAATAATATCCATAAAGAACCAAACTACAACAGTTTACTTACCTTCATGAGAATAACATGGGAATTTAAATTTACAGTTAGCCTATTAAAAATTGTTCACTTAATACCGTAAAGCATAAAACAATGCTTCAATAAACTAAACAAATAGGTATTGTTTATATCCATAAATAATTTGCCAAACATAATTTTACAGAATGGTTTGGGAATAAATTGTAGATAATATGTTGGAACACCCATTTTTATCCCATAAAACACCGTAATCGTCACTCGAGATCGCCGCAACACCTGTCTAAGTATATTTGCAACCTCGGCGATACCGTAATCGTCACTCGAGATCGCCGCAACACCTGTCTAAGTATATTTGCAGCCTCGGCGATACCGTAATCGTCACTCGAGATCGCCGCAACACCTGTCTAAGTATATTTGCAGCCTCGGCGATACCGTAATCGTCACTCGAGATCGCCGCAACACCTGTCTAAGTATATTTGCAGCCTCGGCGATACCGTAATCGTCACTCGAGATCGCCAAAACACCTTTCTGTAAGTATATTTGCAACCTCGGCGATACCGTAATCGTCACTCGAGATCGCCACAACACCTTTCTGTAAGTATATTTGCAACCTCGGCGATACCGTAATCGTCACTCGAGATCGCCAAAACACCTTTCTGTAAGTATATTTGCAACCTCGGCGATACCGTAATCGTCACTGAGATCGCCGCAACACCTGTCTAAGTATATTTGCAACCTCGGCGATACCGTAATCGTCACTCGAGATCGCCGCAACACCTGTCTAAGTATATTTGCAACCTCGGCGATACCGTAATCGTCACTCGAGATCGCCGCAACACTTGATATTATATAGTGCGGTCTTGCGATACTGGAGCGGGCGCGATACTTTTTCTTCGAAATTCTCTTGCGATACCATGGCGGGGCTGCGTCTCGAAAGCCACGAATGTTTATGGCTATAAGCTGGGGAACGAAAGCCACGACAATTAGTGAAGGGTCGAAAAGGTTTTAATCCTGGGGCCGTAAGCCACGACTGCTGTCAGGTCAGGGTGGCAGCTCACAGGGAGTACGGGAAATTTAAGTTCCCTCATATTTGTGCGTCGCAAGCAAATTCGTGGGTCCGATTTGAATCCACCGTGCTATAAAGGTTAGAAATAGACCTTTGAACTCTACTGCTCTTTTTTTATTCTACTGTCTGGTTATCGTTAGTGTAGTGTAGTTGTTTACTCATACAAAAGCAATAATCAATTTCAAGCAAATAATAACTCGGGATAAGCTATTATCGTAGGTAGCACGGTAAAACCTAAACCCTAAATAGTTTAACTTTTTCGATTTTATGTTTTTAGAGGCCAAATTTGTATTAAATCTACTCATTTATTCAACAAAATTGGTTATTAATGTGTGACGGACGATTACTGAAGGGAACTAAGGAAGAATTAACCACCAGGATCATCGGACTGACCACTTTGAAAATATCTAAAAATCATGTTTGTTGTTAGAATACTATTCCAGATGTAAAACTTAGGAAACGTGTAAAACGTTTAAACATAATTTTTAAATAGTAGGCTACAGTTAGTTCCACCAAAACTGTATTGAAAAGTTATATGCAAATATAAGTTACATAAACACCGTGCATGATGTTTTATTATGGTACTTATAACCCCCAGAGCCCTAAACAGTTGCAGGCTCTCCTCTAATTCCAGTAAAAGGTGTTATTAAAACTCGATGTCATGCATATAAATTTCTCTACAAAAAGATTAACAATTTTGTAATTCACTTTAACAGCGTATACTTGACTTAATACGCCAAAAACATGAATTCCCATTAAAGAGCAATTGCATAATTTTTACATTTTTAGTAGGCTATAAGTAGGAATGAATGGGATTGCACTTATCAACACCCAGTCTAAATAATCTTAAAGTAATTGGAGAAGGCAGGTGCCTCATCATATAATATAACAGTTATGTCAAATAAAAGTAGTTTATCATCAGGGCACTAAATCATAACCACGCATTAAAACAGTTCTCTTTCAGAATATTACCTTACACTTTGATCAATTTCCGCACCAATGAAAAGTTTTCTTCAAAAACGTTAAGCAACCTTCGAATTTATAGTGGTGACAAAATACTTAGTTAAAGATATTTTTTAAACTTTGTACAACTAAACCTATACTACTTTCTACTCAACCGAGTTTTGTTAATTAATGGGTCATTGGAAAGCCTAATTCGTTTAGATTTGCAAATAATTATAAAAGTGTGATTTGATCACATAATTGTGGTGAAAAAGTAAAAATAACAAAAATACATTAAAACTGTTTTGAAGGTTTCTATTATAATATCTAATATGGATCAGAATTGATTTATTTTAGGATTTATAATTTAATAAACTTAAAATATCGTGTGATTAGTAGCCTTTTCATAATGTACTAATACAATTTATTATGTACCATACACATTTTGAGGTTAGCAAACTGGAAAGTTTATCATATTTTTTTTATGTTCCCTATTTTTGAAGTTATCCGAAAACGATGGTTTTGCGGACGATTTAGAGTACTAAAAATGGCAATTTTCTGGACAGTATGATGAAAATAAATTTTAAACAGTATTAATTTGTCCGAGCCGTTGACTAGCCGATTTTTACTATCTTACTAGGATAAATAATGTATTATTTATCACACAACAAACAACATTTTACTTTTCAGATGGTATTGTCTCTTATTAAGGATTACGGTTTTTTGCTCATACGACAAATGTCAGTTCTAAAACATACTGATACAGTTGAAACCAAAATAATAAGAAGTCTTCAATGAATATAAATTAATTTGCTAACTAACGTTTCACACATATCTTGATCAATTAGGTTAATAGATAAAGATAAATAATTATAAGATTTTACTCTGGGTGAAGAATTTCGCTTTACAGCCGCCTCGCCTTTTTCTCTCGCAAAACCACTTCTTTCTTCCACACTCTAACACCGATTGCAAATTGAATTTAAAGTTATTAAACATCAAGGACTCTTTGCCCTTATTACTAAAAACCAACTCCGCACAATCTTCCATGGCCTTCACGCTTTGAATGTTTAGGCAAAACTGATGCGAAATCCTAAATATGCTGAAATGTAAGGGTGACGCAGCATTCTGATGACTAATTCCAAGATACTTCCCTCCATGCCGGAAATCGGGTATCAACAACCCTTCGCTATTATATTACCTACCCCCGTAAAAATAATACACGCACTGGTATATAGTAACTTACTGGTTCTTTAACGTAAAAGTAATGCATACATTTATAGTTCAACCTAAACTATGTTAACCACATTCACCACATCGTGTATGCAGATGCATAAGAACGGCTGCTACTGAATTTTTCTTCTTCACTAACAATGTAATTTTCCAAAACTTAACTTTATTTCTGATCAGAATTTTAACAAATCTGCTTTTATATTTAGAAATGATTAGTGTGGTGCACATTTGTATAATACTATGCTATAGAGATACATAGTAAGCAATATAGCAACATAATTGTTGTGTAGGATGTGAGAATCAACCACGCAAAAATATTGACGAAGTTTTTTAGTTACCTAATACTTATGAATAAATGTAATTGTTTTGATTTTTAAAATTAAATATCAATAATATTCACAGCTATTGTTTAACAAAAGATAGTGATAGAAGATATACCACATCACTTATTGCATTCAACATTACAACATGCAAAACTAAACATGTATTGGACTTCCGTGCCGACGTAAAACCTTGTATAACTTAAGTTTTAAGTTTAACTTTTATCGTTAAATAATCATATTATCTTCCATAATACGATAATACTCAATACAATAAGGGGTTTTCGTCAAAATAAAGCAAAACATTCATATTTATACCGCATGCGTTGCGGGTCCAAAGTAACATTTTTATTCTATAGGGAGTAAAAATAAGTTGTTGCAAACAGTTGTAAATTAATCAGGCAAAGGTTTAGCCTAATGTTGCATTGTTGACAGTAGCTGGACATATCGATGGTATAATGTATTGTAAACACAATCTTAATAGAAGAAATTATTTACTCACTTTCTAAATAGCAACTTATTTACATTATGTTATTAGAATATATATGGAATATTATATGGAATATGTTATTAGGGTTTAATTTGTCTGCTCCTTCAATATTTTTAGCTCTTACAACTGTATTTGAAAATTCATTGAGACATCATCAAACAGCTTTAGCAAAATATTTGCATCCATCACTGCATTATTATAATTGCCATGTTCATGTG